CGGCTCATAGCTCTGCTTCAACAGCAGGTTTTGCCCACGAACGCCTCACGACGGCCGACTGAATTTCAAACATGTTTGTATACTACACGATGCACGCCAAGGCTGAAACTTGGCCCGATCGAAAAAATTCTCGCTTGACTGGAAAATCTGCCTTAAAAGGGCAAAAAAAAAAATTGTACATTGTATGTCCGGCTTTACCCAACACACGATGAGTATAATAAAAAAAATAATAATAAACGTCCAGACACAACTAGCGGTGTGAATTGGCATGAATCTGGCGATACGATACGCATCATGATACGATTTATTCCCATACATTAAAGGTATAATGGAGGTGTTTTTTTTTCTGGGTAGATCATCAAAATAAGTGGTCCTCCTAATTGTCAATCATTCTGGTGATATGTTTACCTAAGGCCGTCCTACGTGCTCGTCCCCATTTTCACCTAGCCGTGGCGAGTCTGACATAGTGGAAAAATTGCAAATCATCTTTTAGAAAGTCAGCTTGTATGAGCGATGCAGACAGCAACTTTTAAACAAAGCATGCATGAGGAGAAATGGACTCATGCACGCCCTCACAAGTGGAGAGGGTGGGTCTTTTCAAAAATTCACAAAAATCCTCCTCTAGACCTTTAACACAGGCGGTGTGCTGCCAACCAGTCGCTGAAGGCTTTTTGCCTATAAAAATATTTTCCATGTAAGATCCATTTGGCCACATTTAGAATCAAACCAGCATCGTCTCATGATATATTGTGATTATTGGTATCTATAGCAGAAATATCTATTCACCATCACAATGATCAGAACCTCTCAGAGGAAGAAAATGGGGCAGAAATCCACATGATTATTTTACCGTGTGAACTTTGCCTTACATTTGACAGCAGAATACACGGACCGGATCACTACAAGCCAGCGGTAGCTTCAAAACAAGCCCAAAGCATCACCCCTCCACTCTGTGCTTGAAAACTACTTTAGCTGCATAAACGGTGAGGCTGAATTGTTCCTTTGTTTTATCTTTTTTACATCATTAACGCATGCAAATGTATGGAAAACATTATGATCACATTGTTAATCAGTAATAAGCTCACAGCTTCACTAGAATTATCATCGTGTTTATGTAATATGACACATTTAAGGACTGCTGAGGTTTTCAACATTCATTCAACCAGTTGGTTTTACTCTTTTTACTGCCTTAAAACCTTCACCTGATGTCTATTTGCAGAGGCTGAAGTCCTTTAGCTCACAGAGAAACAGAATCATCAAGGAAATTTCAAGCATAATAGCACAAATGTGGATTGTTTTGATGTTGTACTCACTTTTTTTGTAGTTTTTCCATTAATATCATGATCGCTTGGACATCAAAATCTTTGGATAGTATGAAAATGTTTAATATTTTTTTGCAATTTATTTCAGAGAGCTAAATTACTGTTATACAGATGACCTTCGCAAAATATTTAAGCCTTTATTTAATGTTATATCCGTGCTTCTGGATTAAAATAATGAGAACCCAAAATCCAGCATTTTAGAAATGGAAAAAATCAATAGGATTGGTAAAAAAATAAAAATATATATATATATATATATATATATATATATATATATATATATATATATATATATATATATTAGTGCTGTCAATCGATTAGGCATCAATGCCTAAGTTAACTTGCGATTAATCGCATTTTAATCACTTTTTTTTCTGATTGACAATCATTTAAATACTCTCGATGACATACAAAAAAGGTTTGTGCCAATGTTCTTTTTTTTAAATGAAAACAGGTCACAGACACTGATTTATGCCATAGAAACATATGGCAAGAAGATGGCATGTAGCAAAAAATAACAAATATGTAGCCAAAAAAAAGGCCCTGAAAACAGGCTGATGTAAAAGACAGTCTTTACAGTTAATACAGTCTTTTGAACAAAGACAAGCATTTTACCCTACTGCTATAAAATGCAGTAGAGTTAACATTAGATGTTAATTAACCAAGGTAACAATGAACAATTTTCCATCAATACATCAAAATCAATAGACTGACATCACTAGATGGAGGTAGTCTATGCTCTAGAAAGTTACTTTTCAGCCTCTTAACAAAAATGAGAACACACCCACACACCCACCCACACACCCACCCACCCACACACATACACACACACACACACACACACACACACGATACCGACCTGTGGCGTACACAGACAGACAGAATGCCGTAGCAGATTCCATTTCACCTCAGTAATCTGTTTTCTCAGCGTATTTCAGGTTGCTACTAGTTACCAGACACTCAACTTGTTTGTTGGTGGTGGGGCTTAAAGAAAAGGCACTAGCGCTACCCAGTGTATGAGCGTCTTTTTTCCCTGAGGAGCTCCGCTCTCGAAGCCTATGGAAAATGCATAGACTGAGGGAAAATAGCCCCGCCTTCCCGCAGGCTGCAGCGGGATGTACTTGGAAAATTGTACCATAAAACCACATAGCGTTAATCTCACGTTAAAAAAATTATCGCCATTAAAATGGCCTCGCGTTAACGCGATAATAACGCGATAATTTTGACAGCACTAATATATATATATATATATATATATATATTAAACTTTTGCATGAATTAGTGCAGCGATGGGATCATGGCTGCTGTTCTCCCTGCTAATGGATGACATCCTTCTATGACACTATAGACCTTCCTATGCGTAACAAATCTATATACCGGGTATGAGTTTTACCAAATTAAAGGAGTGACAGAAAGCATTGGGCATTTTCGACTCTAATTCTTTATAAAATGTAGCTGTTTGTAGCTTTTAGAGGCACAGATGGAGACATGAGCTGGAAGGTTTGTACATAAGGGAACCATGAGAGTCTGTCTAACCATTAATATGTTAATATTAACCCAAAATATAAAAGATGTTAAATCATGTTGAGCAAACCGGGTTCTATGAATTAGGGAAAAACTTCTCTACCCTAGTTTAACCTGAAAAGAGAAAATGATTCCAGGGTCTGGTGGTTGATTACCTCTATCCTTCCTACATTATATATGTTCTGCTGACAGCTTCTCTGAACTGCCTCAATCTTTTCCTTCTGTTATAAAATATAAAATACTAAATGCTAGGTGCTGTAGAGTCTGAGGAAAAGCTTTTATTGTCTTGTTTTTCACTGTCTGGACATTATAAGCTTTGTCCTCTGGATGGGAACATGGAAATATCCACTAATGTAAAGATTAGCAGCCAGATTAAATTTTAACCTATATATATTTTTCTTTCTGTAGAAAACAGGGAAATGGAGATGAGGTAGCTCAGAAACAATCCTACTCCTCCAGAGATTGGTTTATGGTATGCCTGGAAGAACCAGCCAGGTTCCTTGACTGGGAGAGAAAATGATAAATAATAGTACAGCACCCTCTAGTGGGCAAACTGTAACATACAGATGATTTTAATAAACTTTCAACAACACAAAAAAAAAAAAAAAAATCTTAATTTAAATTAAAGGGAGAAAGAAGACTAATCAGCATCTTAATACATTCTTCTTCTTTATCTTAATATTTCTGGATTCCAGATAAGATTAGAGCTGGAAAATAATTTAATATATTACAGGCGTTAAGGAGGAATAAAATTAAACAAATAAATGTATCATAAAATAAATCAATGTGGATTCATTATTAAATTAATTAATGTGCCAAAAGAAACTCAGAAAGTTGTGGTAACGCGTTTCTGACTGAAGCGCAGACGTTCAAGGTCAGGGTTTCTATGGTAACGGCACTAGTCCCGCCCACTGATTTTGATGGGAGCACTTGACAGTTTAAATCATTTAAATAAATAATTAATCTAAACTAATTACAATAAATAATGTAAATGAACTGATAAAAAAAAACAATTATCTAATGTCATCATTTAAAAGGTATATTTAATTATTTCATGGCACATTAAATTACTTAATTTTAAATTTCATAATTCAATGGTTTGGTAAATGATATATGAAATAAATAAATGGCTCATTTATCAATTTAGTGCTTCACATACTTCTTTCATTTTACATTTCAAATTTTATGGTACACTTATGTATTATAGAACATATTAATACCTATTTATTTCATGCTATATTTACTTATTTAATTTTTTCACATTTAACCATGCATAATATATAAAGCAGTATAATATTATTCATTAACGCTGATATTACATTTCCAATCAAAGCATTTGTCACTGATTGACATTCTGGGTTTAATGTGTTTTGTCTTTAAAAGTACATTTTTCTAAAACATGTAAAAGGAGTTGGTTCTGTTGTTGACATTCTGGGCATTCTTTCTGAGGCTTTTATTTTGGTAACATAAAAATGGTAAATGTATATTGTATTTACCAAAATTAGGAAATACATAAACAGATGAGACAAAGATAATTATCCAGTTTATCATCAAGCATTTTAACAGGTTGCATTTGTGAAAATATGTACGGTAGAACATCGTATAAGTGACGGTTATTCAGAGTCAACAGGTTTATTTAAATCAAAGCTCTGTAACACAGAATATAATAAAATAAAAGTAGTAGAGCTGATACAATGAATTGCATTGATTGATTATGCAAATACTCGTCTAACTAATTTAGTAATCAATTAATCTTTGACTGGAATGTAGAGCCTCTAAAACATGCGTTTAGCTGTCAAAGCGACCCAATTAGAGCAGTAAATATAACAAAATTGTAAAACAAATATATTAATATTTATCATTTAAGACAATAAAAACTTTTTCATCTGTCAATATGCTCTATTCCAAACTCCTCAAGTGGAAAAGTTTTAGTTTCACCTGGTTTCATTCTCTGAAAATGCTTCTTTATGTAACCCTTTTGCTACCAGATTGTTCATTGATTAATCAAAAATAAATAATTGACAGATTAATAGATTAGCAAAATAATGGTTAGTTGCAGCTCTATAAAGTGGTCTTCATTTCTATATTTTTGTTATATCAATGGTCTAAAACAGAAAAGCCCAGAGAATCTTTAAAGGGCAGACAGTGGACTACCTGACGGCCTCGGCCACGTTGTTGGAGGTGTGCCCTGACAGGGCGTCATGGAGGTTCCTGATGAAGTAGTCTCTGTACTCCTCAGGGAGAGCCATGAAGGTGCCGCCCATCACGATGAACTCCACCTTGTCCACGCTGTGGCCCAGCTGCTTCAGCTGCACACAGCAGAAATACATCTCAAACAAATGTCCTCATCTATTCAAAACATGCAGCCCTTTGGTTTGTTGTTCCTCTAAATGTTCATGGTGTTGCTTTAATGAATGGTTCTGCTCTGATGCACGAGAGAAATGGTGACCATTCATTTTCATTCAGCTGTAATCGAGGTTTGGTAGGGTGATGAAAGCTATGACCCCCATTAGAGTCTGATCAATCCATCATCAATACCCAGAAGCAGTAGCAGCACTGCTGAGGTGGACGGCTGGAGCAGCTGTAAGGTTTAATCTGAGGTTTCGGCACAGACAGGGATGTTTTCTGTGTACTGACCTCAGCCTTTTTAAAAAAAAGCTTAAAACCCACATTTTTAATTTAGATTTTAATTCTGACTATAATACTGTCTCTTAGATGTCATCTTTCTGTGTGCTCTTTTCTATGCACCTCTGGAAGGCTTTTAATGTCCTGCAGCACTGCACCACTACAGCACTTTTAATTGTATCTTGTATGTTTTTATATGTGTTATGTATCGTTTTTATGGCTTTGTTGTAAAGCACTTTGGGTACCATTTGGTTATAGTAAAGGGCTATACAAATAAATTTGATTTGATTTGATTTTGTTTATTGGCCATAAAAAAAAACAGTCACTTTTTAGTGCTTTTACATATTAAACTATGAAACCCTGATGTCAATCATTAGTGGGAATGAATGTGAAAGTTTATCACTAGATACTGCTGATTTATAACAAATGAAAACCAAGTAAAGAAAAAATGTGCTGGAAAAAAAGGAATGAACCAAATGCCTCATGTCCTGCAGTACCCCCACGGCCCAGTAGGGGTTGTGACCTCTAAACTACACCATTCTACTGCAGCTTTTCCGTAATGATCAGTTGTTCTCCTTCAAGAAGATGACCTTCTCCTCTTATTTAACTGCCCCCACCTTCCTGCAAGGCCTTCCCTGCTTCTCTGTTCTAACTGAGGAACAGTATTCCCACAGCATGATACTGTAACCACCGTGTTTCACCAGCTGAATTTATGTATGTTATCCAAAACACAAAATATTCTCAGGTTGGTTAAAAAGTTACTTTTTTGTTCTCCAGTGCCCAGAGCACCTTCTTCATCACCTTTCTGTCCTCTATATGTAGAAAAACAGAATTGTCTTCCATTTCCAAATCAAGGACAGTCAGATCTACCTGAACTAAAGCAGCTTTTAAAGTCGTAGGGAAGCGGCTGTTCCAACCGTTGCATTTCTGAATTTTCCTGAGTGGTGCACCACTTTACACGAATGAATAAAGTGAATGTGATTGGCCGATTATCAAGGGGGTGGGGTTCTTATGGCGGAAGGTTCGCAAGCAAGTTTGATTGTGGTTGCTTTATTGGAAGCATCTTGCTAACCAGTTAGCAACTTAGTGCTAGTAGGTTCCCAATGGGAAATTCCATTGGGACCAAGTAGCACTAAATTGGTGACTTAGAAACGACACTGTCAAGGAACGCTATGGACAGTGGAAACATGCAAGAGGAGGAGAGTTTAGTGTCGGAGGTTGTGGATGAGTCTCCTCCGTCATACATTTTTTATTTAGAGGAGGAAAGCGGGGAGGAAGATGTTGTGGAAGAGGACGCCAGGGCGGCACAAGCTTGGTTTGGTGTAGAAGGCTTCCAGCCGTTTGAGCCCTTGCCTCGCAACGCTGCCAGTTCTGTTAGCTCTACGCCTGCTGAAGATAGAGACGTCCATCCCCGTGAACACTGGGACGGAACTCAGTGGGAAAGGAAATGATTCTGATTTCTTAATTCAACCATTGCGTATATTAGCTGCAACATATGAATCAAGATGCTATGACTGAAAAAATTTGATTGACAGATGACCGTTGTCATATGATTGACCAAATTTAGGTGTACAAGCTGATGTATAACTAACTGGCCTGCAGAAGATAACGGAAAAAAAAAAAAAAAACGATTTTAAGACAGGATTTTTTTTTTATAGAAATTTTCCAAATTTTGGGACAATATTGTCTGATAAAGAGTACATTTATATACATGTTTAAGACAGAATGATTTGACATTTAAACATGACTTCCCTACGACTTTAATGATGGCATTTTGAATTAATGAGCTGCAATATAGGCTGACTGGTGGTGAATTTTTTTATCTTAACCCATTTAGGCCGGGAAAGCATTACCGCATTTCTACCATTTAAGCCGGGGGTGCTGTTGCGTCATTCTACCATTGACGCCGGGAGAGCATATAAGTCAAGCAAGAAGAAAGAAGTTTTTTTCAAGCAAACATGGAGGAGTTTGACAGAGAAGAGTTGTCGGAAGGCAGTGATTTTGAGGAGTGTGTCGGCTTTGATGACGGTATAGATGAAAATGATGACTTTGAACGCGCTGAACCAATCGAACTACCACCGCAATGCACGGAGTGTTTTCAACCGCACACCTGGAGTGAAAGTTGATTTGCCTGCAGACGCCACACCGCTGCAGGCATTTGAGCATATTTTTAATGAAGAACTTTGGATGCATCTAGTTACCGAGACGAATAGGTACAGTGACCAAACAAACCAAACTCCAACAAGAGCAAAGATGGCAAAGTGGTCACCCGTGACTGTGACGGAGATGAAGACATTTATTGGGCTGTGTATGTAAACCTCTCTTCAGGACGCAGTTCCCCCAAAATATGTCCCGGGACAGATTTGTGGCCATCTGGAGGTAGGTTGTATGCAATTTATAACACAGACATATGCATTATTATGCATAATAATACTGTTAATAAGTAATCATCAGATAGTTATTTATGTAATGTTTGTTCTTTATTTTGAAAACGTTTTATATTGCACATTCTCAATGAAGACATGATCACATATGGAAAAAATAAAAGGTTGAATTTTTTTTTTTTGATTGCTGCTTTTCACATTTTTTTTTTAGAAGAATTTCAAAGATAAAATATATTTTGAGTTCTATCTGCTACAGAAGCTGAGATATCAATAATTTACTAGGCGTTGACACAGTTGCTGAATTTACAGAAAAACTTCAGGTTTTAGGGGTATTTTTTAAAATCGGCCATAGGTTTTTAAGGTGTTTTTTCCAGGCGTTTTAGGCCTAAATGGGTTAAGGAAGGAAGCAGATGTGATGGCGTCTGTACCAAGTGTGAGCCCATCTCTGTTGATTTTGGACCCGATTGCACATTTAAAGCATCCGATCAACTCAGAGCAGAATTGCATCAACCTTCCATCGCTCCTCCTCTGCCTCCCCAGACTAAGAGGAAGCAGTTTTATTATTTAGCGTCCAACATTATTACTGCAGGTCCTGTATCTATACAGAGTGCTGGGGTTGTCTGACCTGCTCCACTCGATGTCTGGTCTGTAGGTAGGGGTCATAACGTGCTCGGATCGCCCTCATGGACGTTGGCTTTTAGAAACACAGAATAAAAACAATAAAGGGAAAGAACATGGCAGCATTTTTCAGTCAAACTCTTGAGAATAATTCCTAAAAACAAGAACTTTAGATTAAGGTTGACTTATAGAGTAGAGCCTGACCTCATAGCCGGTATACGACTGTGTGGAGTATTCAAAATCAGAGTCAGGTCCACCGGGACAGTAGCTGCCAAAGACAAAAACAGACAAACATGTAAATAAACGCAGTATTAAGAAACCAAGGCATTCTTAAACGGAGACATAGAAACAAAAAAAAACCTACAAGTAGCTACTCAAACATTTTTACTTCACACAGAGGTTTATACTGCATACATGAGTACAGAGTAATACTCACACACAGATGTTTCCAGTGAAGCTAATGTGAGGACATCTATGTGGTTTGCACATCACAGCCACCACTGCAATCTGTGGAAACAAGACCCAGGAGATGAACATTTGCCTTTGTTCATTTTCTGACGACAAAGAGCTGCTATCATCCAATCATTCCATAAATCAGACATTTAACCAACTGCTAACCTCGACTTTTAGATTAAAGTATTAACACAGAACGGGAGGGGGGGCTGAAGTCGACTCACTGCTCTAACGTAGATGAGAGAACGAATGTACAACTAATGCAAAAGTAGCACTGATAGCCTGTGCTAAGCACCTAGCTTGTTTTAGCAACATTTATACTCAACTTGATCGTAAATGTAGTTGGTTTCTTTTAATCTAGTATTTTATGGGATTGTTCCTTCTGTAAAGTGACCAATGTGAGCAAAGGCCGATGCAATAACACATGAAGCACGCTGTGCTTACAGATGTAACCGTAGGTGCTACACACATCAGGGTGTGTGCACTTAAATGATCACTGAGTAGGGTGGAAGAAAGCTAAAAACAAACAAATGACAGATATATTTTAACAATTATTTAACTGAATTCACAAACTTTATTTTAGCAGGGAACAAAACAAATCAGTTTTAAAGCCACAACATAACCAGTGCTAAGTCTTTTTGCAGCTATTTTTCTTTGTATCGTTTTCTTAGTATGTTTGATTTAGTGATAAGTGGAGGCGTTTCAGAAACAAGGGTGGAACAAAACTTTTGACGCTTTGTGTTTCGTGCTTCGCATGTGCGACTCCACTGCCTTAATTTCCATCGCTCTGAGCTTGAATGACTTCTTGCACAAAATCCACTGAGCCTCATGTATGTTCCCTGGTTTTAGCCATGGAGGAAACTCTTGGCTGGAGACAATTTCAGTTACATTTACACTTGCTCATATTTTCCAGACAAAAAGTTAATGGTGCATCTCACAAATGTCCGGGCCGCAACAACGCTTTATTGGTTCCACTATCGGGACGGAACCAATAATGGCGAGTCATTATTATTTTTAAATACAAAAAAAAAGGTCAATTTTAATGTTTTATTTAGATTACACAAATAAATCATAATAAAAATAAACCTATTTATGATGTTTTAAAAATTAAGACCTACGAAAGACTGATTTAAGACATTTTAATACCAATTAAGGCCTTAGTTTTATTTTGAAGAACTTAAAGGGACACTATGCAACATTTTTCAGTTAATTAATGTGTTCCATAACGTTATGGATGACTAAATGAGTCATTTCAGGTTGAACAAAGGTATTCTCGGCCGCCCTGGTGGTCTGTGGGGGAAATACTGCACTTGCAACTGCAGGAGCACCGACCCGCACCCACAGGCTCAGAAGTCTCGTGAGAGTCGGTCTTGCTTTACAGCGAGAACTGCTACACCTCCCAGTTAAAAGCATGCTCGTTGCTAGCACAGTGGCGATCTTTGTGCAGTTATGCTACGTTCACATCGGACGCAGCAAAATCGCGTCTGCTGCTTCATTTTTACTGCTTGTACCAGTTAGTTCTGACGCGCGGCTGAAGCAGCTTTGCTGCTCTGGCTGCGCGGTGCAAAAGTGTGTCTGACGCGCGTTGGGCGGAGCTTCACTATCCTTTCTCTGCCTTGCAGCTATATTTGCTGTGATCAGTGGGAATAAAGTAGTTTTAATATGTGTTTAAGTGAGAAAATACACCTGAAAACGTAATCAGTGCAGTCAGTTCATTCAGATTATTATCCTGCCTTCAATATTTTTTCTGTCGGAGCCGCTCAGACCCCCACATACCAGCGGGGCGCCGACAGTAGGTATCCCTTCATCAGCAGCCTCTGGCCGGGTCGCCTCCTCGCGGTTCACCGCGGCAGCTGGTAGGTGTTTTTCATCTAAATAATCCAAACTGCATATTCTGCCGGCAGATTTCTGCATTTTAAGTTAATTTAGGCGTCAATAAACTGTTTAAGAGGAGTGATCATCAGCGCTGTGTCTCTCTCCCTACGTCAGATGCTTAAACGCGCCAGACGCGCTGCTTCAGCTGCTCAGACGTGAGCGCCTGCTGCTCAAAACGCGCCGCGGGACCTTTTGCTGCGCCTTGACGTTACGTTGCATGTAAACTCGCTGCTTCTGTCGCGCCAGCTGCGGTGTGAACGCAGCATTAGTCATTCGTTGCGTTCGCCTGTCTGCTAAGCTCAAAACAACCGCGCCTGGCTTGACGGAGAAACCAGGAGAACAGCTGTGTATATTTACGACAGTGCACTTTTACTTTCGCCCTCTGGGGGGAGCCTCGCTGGAAAATCAACACCGGTTGCATAGTGTACCTTTAATGCCTTTTAAGACTTTTTAAGGACCAGCGGGAACCCTGCAAAAGCAATGAATCAGTTTAACTACAGTCTTTAACATCATCAAAAAATGCAATGTGCTTATGAAGGAGATAAGAATTAAATATAATCCAAATTTTTTCTATGTCAAGCAGAACTTATATATGTTTTAATTTTCCGTTTTTCCTCCACAGCAGAGAGACTTTTGAAAAGGTTTATGAACGTGACGTCATCATGTGACAGCATGGAGGAGAGAGAGAAAGGTGGAGAGACGCACACGGAGTGACATCACTGATAATGTGAAAGCTTGTTTATCATCGGCCTGTTTGTGAGATGAAATATTTACATTGTGCAAAAGCTGCTCAAAAATCCCAAGATTGAAATGTAAATTTGTATGCTATTTTCATCCTGTATCTGTTCATCTTTGTCAGAATGTAAGTAATTCTTGTTGTCGACAGTGGTTCCGTTCTGTGTTCTGTATGTGATTGATAAATGAAACACATTCATTAAACATAAAGTATAAAAAAAAAAGAAATATTTACATTGTGCCTTTTCTCTGCCTAAATAGGAGCAATTTTAGAGGAACCATGTGCCAGGTCTTTATGCTGGAATATTTAAGGTAGGGGTGACAGAAAGCTGTTTCCATCTTACTCTAGAAAAGGATGAAATATCGATAACATGCCCTCTAAGGTGCTTAAGGTGCTCCCTCATGCCGAGAACAGAAGACAGTTGTGAAATGTTTATCTGGCCAGTGAAAGAGAAATTAATCTAACAGGGAATGTCCTTGATGAACTGGAGTTATTTTCCTCCAAATGTTCTTGTGTGAGAAAGTTCTTTATGCAGGGGTGGGATAGTCCCAAGAGAGAGTGTGTGTTGTACAGTATAGATGTGTGTGCTGGGCTTGCCCCAGTCAGAGCTTTTCTCTCCGTCTATCGATGTAAAATAAATGGGAAATTCCTTTTGCAAGAGTCTCAGTTTCTCCTCAATTTCACAATACGAAGAACATAACTTCTGCAGTCTGGTAATATTTTTGGTTAGTAGCAAATGAGAAGAGGAAGCCAGTAAATAGTGATGAGGCAATATGTAAATGATCTAACAGAAAGGGGGGCGTGGCAGACGGAGACACAGTGAAGCTAAGGAAACATCTCAGAGTTAACCGTCCACTCTGCTGCGAGGATGCATTTGGCACCAAGTTCAAGAAGTTCAACAGTTTCAACAACTCACACTGATTCCGATGCAGGACCAAGACCACATCTAAGTCCACCACCACTTTAACACAGCTGACAACAATGGGGGCCTTCAGGAAAACCACAAAGTACAAAAGAGTCAGGATCTGTTAAAAAACCCATACATGGCGAAGGACAAAAAAGGCCTTTAAGGACATGGTAAAGACCTACCATGTTAAAGGTCCTAGATGTCCAGTAAGAGCTACCTGGATGGAAATATTTCTCCTAAACAGCCAAACCACATTTATATAGTAAACTTAGAGACGAGGTTCAAGCCCGGATCTCAGAGGCTGACAGTTGTGCCTTAACTGATGTTTTCATCAGTTCCTATGGCTCCATATACGTCCCTGACTGTCCACATCATCACACCTGAGAGGAAACTTCAATCCAAATGCCTCTAAACAACGTATTTTGCTGAGAATCCTATGGCAGATCCTTGCTTTAGGTTCCTGAATTGAGCGTGGCTTACCTGCTTCGGTCAACATCTAAAACTAGCCGTCACAAATGCTTTGCATGAGAACAGGCAAAAACCGGAGCAGATGGTCTGAGTGTGCTGTGGTAAAGATGGAGCCTTTTCACACAGCCGGCCACATAAGAGGGAACTCCACAAGAAGCAGAACATGATATAATAACAGTAAGACAAAATTTAGATCTAAATATCTGAATCTGTTACAAGGTAGGGAACTAGGAATATAACTATATACGTTAAGGGGTTTATTTATTATTTCATTATTTCTTCATCCATTCATTAGTTTTTTCATCTATTAATGAATTTGTTTATTAAATAGCTAATGAATTAATCCATGTGCAGGACTGCGCAACTTGCTGGGACTCCAAACTGGCAACAGTGGATCGAATCCTGGAGCTGTTATCTGACCACAGAAGAGGAAGCCTTTCCCTAGCCTGGAAGACACAGATATGTTCAAAGCTGTTCACGATGCACTGAAACCAGCCGTGACTTCACTGATATTTAGTCAGCAGAACATTATGTAACTAGTTCTATCCTCCTCATACTCCAGCTATGCAGGGACAAGCTATTGGTTCTGGCAGAAAATGACCTCCAGCTAACACAGTCAATCAAAAGAGGAGCTGTAAAAAAGCTAGAGGTTAAGAATGATCCCGATTCAGTGCACAAATTATAGCAAATATGCACTTTCCTCGACCCTTGTTACCATGGAGATTATGAGTCTCATGCCAACACATCGGCTGAGATGGTGAGCTTAGAGAGCCAAGCGCCAGCAGGTCCAGTGGTTGTTAGAGTGGAAGAGGCTCAACACAAAGCTGCAGGAATGAAGGTGACTCTGGGACGCCTCCTTTAAAAACAAGCCAATGCAGCGGCAGGTCCTGTCGGCAGCTTAGAGGACCAGGTCAGAGCTGAAATAAGCAGACAAAGATACACTTCTGTGGTGGAAATGTGCTGCCTGAACGGCGTCTCAGTTCTAACTCGACAACGTTCCCTGATCAATCCAGAAAAGGTTCACATTCTGGGTTTTTGTCAATAAAGTTTGAGTAAACTTGTTGACACTTCCCCCTAGCTCACATTGGCACTGTGTGTGTGTGTGTGGGGGGGTGTATTTGTTTCTTTTACTTTTTCCACTTTTTTAAAGGTATCTCATTTTGTTATTTCAAATTCATCAGGCTATGATTTAATTGAAGTCATCTGCATGTGCGTTTTGCATAAAAAAACAGTTTCAGATGGTCAAGTTCATTTAGAGGTTTTTCACAGTTATATTTCCACGTTTTAGATGTTTCTAGTAATTAACCTAATTGTAAATATGTGCACATTATGTTGTTATTGTTTTAATACTAATCTTTGGTATTTAGTTTCTGAAATATTTAAGCACAAGACAACAATTTGGTGATGCTGTTGGAGCATTAAGTCGGCATATCTAATAAGTCATGGTAATACGGTTTATAAAGTTATATAGAAGCTAAAGATCCTCACCCCACTGGCAGTACGGATGGGTTTGGCTTTAAGTTTGGGTACAAGAACCCGACGGTACTGAGGTGGAACAGCTGCGATGATGTCGACCAGTCTGGGTTGAGCTTCCAGTCCGTACTTAGCAGAGGTTTTCGTCTTCACCCTGAGAGACAAAAAAGATGCAAATAATTTTTATTGTCACTATACTGTCACAAGTAAAGAGCAACAAAATGAACTCTGCATTTAACCCCTCCCCTTGGGGAGCAGTGGGCAGCCATCGTGGGGCGGCGGGGAGCAGCGTCAGATTAAGAGTCTTTATTTAGGGTCCCAGAGTGGCAGTCTGTGGGGGTAGGCCCTCAGAATTCCAAGCTCTATGCCCTAACCACTATGCCGCCACTCCCCACAATTATGTTAGAACAAGAAGGGCGGAGCTGAAACCAAGGAAACAACCAACAAAATCAGTAAATCAGAAACCTTACTGGCTGATTTGCTCCTCACCAAAATCTCTCAAATGACCAGGGCTTACCTACGACGGAGTATTAGGGCCAGGATAGAGTTGTTTTTTATTTTTATTATTATGACAATAAAGTCATAATATTACGAGAATTAGGTCATAACATTATGAGAAAGGAGTCATTATACAACAACCCGTCTCAGAAAGAAAGCTTTAAGCTCCGACCAGCAGATGACGGCCGACCAGCTCCACCAATCAGCAACTTGAGTCCAATTTGACATCCTGCCCAATTTGATGCTGGTGCTGAAAGATTTCCTTATTTGTCAAACCATAGCCAAAGTATAACTTCACATGATGCTCAACCTTCTTTATTCTAGGGAAGAAAGGGCTTCTTGTAAGAGTTGTCAAAAAATACAACTTCTTTCCTGTAATTTTAGGACTCTATTTTCTTAATATTATGAATTTATTCTCGTAATTTTGACTGATCTCAATGTGACTTTTTTCTCGTAATAATACGACTTTATTCTTGTGACTTTACGACTTTATTCTCAGAATTTTACAACTTCATTCTCATGATTTCAGAACTTTTTCTCGTTAGTTTGCGACTTTATAACTTTATTCTCATAATTTTACGAATTTATTCTTGTAAATTTACAACTGTGTTTTGTGATTTTATGACTGTTCTCATTACGACTTTATTCTACATATAGAATAAAAATTAAATCTGTAGCCTGGCCCAATAGTTCCTCATACCTGGCAGATTAAACTGGTGGATTAAAAGATTAATTCAACATTTACAAGGATAGATAATCTGAAAAAGTGATTACTTTTCTTTTCTTCACTGTGCTCTAGTAAGTTTCTGAAATAATTTGTTTCCGGAAAATTCCAGATTAATAATCCTTGATAAATTCATCCCAGATAATGTAGGTTTTATCATAAACATCATAAAACACACCAATATATGATTCAATTTATATTTTTTCATAATAAAATGAGTAAAACACAAATGAGGCTCATAGTTTTAGAAACCAGTGAAATGACAAAAAGGATCTATGTTGTTTTTGTTTACAATTCTTACTTGTTGAGATTGATGTCTTTGCCCTGTTCATGGGCTTCAACCAACTGCTTGATGACGTCTGCGATGGTCATCATCATCAGCTCTGCTCGGCTAATGTCACCTGGAAACATGTTTAAAAGGCTTTATTAAACTTCACACTTTAAAATAACGACGTCTTCATATTAACTCTATATAAAAACAAGTAGTCTGAGCAGCATCGTCTTGCGTGACATTCTGTGTACTTTAAAACCACGATAATGGTTAGCATTAGCAACAAGCTACAACCAGCTTGGCTAATTTCAAAGTAATTCCACCTCCGTAACACCTTTTACAACACACTCACTCTTTTTCTTTGGCTTCCCCATATCCTCCCCTGGACAGTTTGTCAAATTCCCAACCAGCTGCTGATAGTTAAAGCCTAAACATCTGCCTTTTAGCTCAGAAACACTAAAATCAGTAGTAAACAACTCCACGTTACGAGCATACGGATTCTGCCGTACCGCAACAAAAGGTGTCGTAAAAAGACGTAAACTAGTATGCGCAACTGAAATACTTTCACAGTAGCGAGAACAATTCCTTCAGTAATGAGTAAAAGCTCAGTTTGTATATCGAAGGCTTATTTTGCAGATACCTCTTTTTAAAATTGGGTGAATCTATTTAATGGACAGGAATTACAATAAAAGGAAGGTTTTGTTTAGCTCAAGTATGGTGACAGTGAATGAAATGGTTGCTTTACTTTCAATACTTTGTTTACAATGAGGGAGTTTAACCTCCGAATTCTGTACAATATTTGTAACAAATAGCTATCATAGTTTCAGTAATAGGATGGAAATTGTGTTTTTTGTCAAGTCAGAGACTATAATACATGTATTTTGTAGCTGTTCGTTTCTATCCAGGATTTGAAGGACATGGAGCAACTTGTCAAGGATAAACTAAATGTCCAAATTTGACCTGTTGGTAGTAAAATAAAGTTTTGAATGTAGAGATCAAATGTTGAGCTTCATTATTAAGTAACTTTTTCTCTTAGGTAAATTCGTATAAAATGGAAGTCCTCTAGATTTCTCACAAACCTCTTTGCCTTCTTAGCAGTCTTCTATTAATATCTAAACACTGTAAAGTTAACTGCAAATATGAAAGTGGATGTCATGTTACTGCATCTTCAAAATGTATCTTTGATTGATGCTAAATGACAATAATCACAACCTGCCATGTTTTTTTTTCTAATGTTATTTATGTTCATGCTGACATTTGATTATGATCTATATTCTGTGTTTATTAACAAAGGCATAAATAAAGAAAAACTGAAATCGTCTACTTCTTAGATTGCTGTCAAGGTATTATTAATTATTATTTTAATTCAATTCATTTTATATATATATATATATATACAGTTCATTCACGACACATATCATCTCAAGGCACTTTACAGAGACCATTCAACCAGATCATACAGTCAAATTCATTCAAAGTTTTCTAAGGAAAACCAGCTGGTTGCATCAACCCATTGACTCGAAAATCATCCCCCGCACCATGCATGCTTGTAGTGACAGTGGAGAGGAAAATTTCACTTTTGAGCCTACAGCAGATTTTCATTATTATTATTAAAAAAGAGACTACTAAATTCTGATTTTATTCTCAGAATTCTGACTTCATTCTTACTTAAACCTCAGAATTAAAAGTCAAAATACTCTGGACTCTATGCCTAAAGTACAGAGGAGGGTTAGGGACATTAGAAAAAAAAAAAACAAGAACAATAGCTTAAAAAACTGGTTAATTCCGACTTTAATCTCAGAATTCCAAGTTTTAATCTAAGAATTAAAAGTCAAATTATACAGGACTCTATTGCCAAAGTATGGAGTTAGGGCCATTAAAGAAAATAAAGCAGTAGAATTTTGACCTTATTTTCTGAATTCTGATTAATTCTGATTTTAATCTCAGAATTCTAAGTTTTAATCTGAGAATTAAAAGTCAAATTATACAGGACTCTATTGCCAAAGTATGGAGTTAGGGCAATTAAAGAAAATAAAGCAGTAGAATATTGACCTTATTTTCTGAATTCTGATTAATTCTGATTTTAATCTCAGAATTCTAAGTTTTAATCTAAGAATTAAAAGTCAAATTATACAGGACTCTATTGCCAAAGTATGGAGTTAGGGCAATTAAAGAAAATAAAGCAGTAGAATATTGACCTTATTTTTTTTTTATTCTGATTAATTCTGATTTTAATCTCAGAATTCTAAGTTTTAATCTGAGAATTAAAAGTCAAATTATACAGGACTCTATTGCCAAAGTATGGAGTTAGGGCCATTAAAGAAAAAACGTAGCTCTGACTTTAAACTCAGAATTAAAAGCCAAATTACGTGGAACTTTATTGCCAAGATCCAAGATTATCACTTTGAATTAATAAGAATATTACAAGTAGTGATAATGACATCAGAATAATCCTGAGATTAAATTTAAAACTCTGATAATAAAACCAGAATTTTGAGATTAAAGTCAAAATTAGTCAAACCTCAGAGATTTAATCCAGAAATCAATAGCCTTTTTTGTTTCACGAGTTTGTGTTTTTTTCCGATGGTGCTAACCCTCCTCAGTAGTATCATACATAGTGTTAGTAGAGGTTTATATTTTGGTTTTTTAATATAACAGGCAGAGAAAGAGATCTGCATAAGCATTCATTCAGGAGGAAATAATAGGAGAAACCTTGTATTAGAAAATCATCAGAGTTTGTTTAGGTTATTTAGGTATTAAATAGATGTTCAGTTCTGTTGGGTTCCAGCACACGAAGGGTGAGAGGAAATTAAATAGCAGACAAGATAGCTAAAAAGGCTTTAAGAAAGCAGAATATAGATCAGATTCCATTTGGAAAAGGGGAAGATAAATTAATAATTAAAAAGAAAGAAACAGAATTATGGCAAAAAAATATGGGATGAAGATGAGAAAGGGAGAAAATTATATAGGGTTCAAAATCTGTAATTGTTAAAAAATTATGGAGAAAAAATAATTATATATAATTTATACTAGATTAAGAATTGGATATACCTACTTGAATGGGTTTTTGTTTCTACAAGGGAAGAGAAATAATGATTTATGTGAGGGTTGTGATGTCGAATGTCGATCATGTTTTGATGGATTGCATTAAATATGCAACTGAAAGAGATGATGAGGAAAGTAATTATGGAAAAAGGGAGAGAATGGAGTATTAAATAAATTTTAGGGACAGATGGAGATAGGGAGGAAAATTTGGTTGTTAATAAAGCATTGTTTTTACATAACACAAAAATAAAAAATATAAAGAATATAGTAGGTGGTACTATAGACCTACACACTCATGTACAGTAGGTGGCGGTATGCATCTATAAGCTGTTTGCCATCCGCCAATCTAACAAAGAAGAAGAAGAGGAGGAGGAGGAGGAGGAGGAGGAGGTCTGCATGTTCGGCACAGATCCACACGGTGGCGCCAAATCCCCTCCTTCGCCATGTCTTAAGTGTGAACCGAGGCAGCTGGAGAGGCTCAGACCTAAATCTGACAGTAAATCCATTTAGCCCGGAGGTGACATGGCCTGAATGATCTCTGCGGAAAGTTTCAGGAAATGCAACAGGTGGAGCAGCCGTGGGGAATAAAGCGTGGACTGCAGTCAGAGTTTCCACAACCTCCCGTAAAGTCAGCGGTGTTTTTAATAGAGGAGGGAGGGCGAGCAGGTGAAGCGGTGAACGGTGTGTCAGACCGCTGCTCTTATCCACACTCACCGCCGACAGGAACCGACCGGACCAGGAGGCAAACTATCTGACGGTTGGTCGGTTATTTTCCCCCGAATCTTTACCTCACAATGAAGTTACTGAACAAGTTTTATGCGCCAGCAGGAAATGAGACGTTAATGTTGAGAAGAGCGACCTTCTGTCCGTGTATTTAATTGTTTAAAGTTAACCAGAGTGTTTTGGTGGTGATTGCCTCCAGCAGGTCAGGTGCCACCATGGATGACAGCAGCCTGACTGACTCCAACGTTAAGGTCGCAGTGAGAGTGCGACCCATGAACAGGAGAGGTGAGCTGGAAAATAACTTTTTAGAAAGAACACCAGCTGCTGATTCAGCTTTACTGGAAATCACTATTTAAAAAACATCTAAACTACCAGGGGCGGTTCTAGACTAAATGTACCAGGGGGCCAGGGGGGCACCTTGTTTTCATGGGGGAACAGAAAAGCAGAAAACAAAAAACAGGGTGAAGGATTCAAATGTATTAAAGTCGTAGGAAAGTCATATTTAAATGTGAAATCATTCTGGCCTAAACATGTATATAAAGGCCTATTTATGCTTCTGATGCATAGCCTCCCCACCGTCAAATCTGTCTCTATGTGCGACCACGCCCCCCACACAGAGGTTTTGCAACCGGCGTCGCACACCTCAAAAAAATCCTGACTACGAGTCAGACTGTCGTAAACCTGTGCAGACCTCAAGCGGAAGTGTGCAGACAAAAGGCAGCTGTGATTGGTCCTTGGTATGTCTTTCCGGTTGTCTGTGTGGTCGTCCTTCTCGATTCAGGGGCGAGCCATTTTTAAAAACCAAGGAACAACTACGATGGATGACCTACGCGTCCTCCTTTGTCTTTTTGCCAACTCCATTAACAGAACCTGCTCCTCTTCGATGTCTAGCTACTCTAGATCCCTCTCCGTGACCGTGATATCTTGCAGATTTACCATTGTTGCTTTGGAAGATAAACACTCCCGCCAGCGCCACACAAGTACTTGTGACCATCATCCAAAGTTCTTGCAAGTTCTTGAATAGGCTCCCCCTTGCGCTTTGATGAGAAACTGCTGTGCATCCCTAGAAATTCTAGACCGACGGTGCAGAAGCATAGCAGCAAAACTGGTTCGCGACCAGACCCAAGCAACATTTGATGCGTGCGGTTGCAGCAGTCTAATCTGCCCCTAAGGCTACATTCACACACTGTATCTGATCCTTTTGTGGCTGTCTGAACAACACAGGTCCAATTTCTTATTTTTTTCCAATGCGACCCAGGCCGCTTGACTCTGTGGTTCTGAATCCGATACAAATCTGATCTTTTCAAATGCAACCTGGTCGCATTCATCCGACCTGAACGCCATTAATACCCGACAAAGGTAACTATTCTGCGTCTTCCTATGAAGAAACGGCAAGAAAAACAACAACCATGGCGGATGATGATGAGGAGAGCAGTATTTATGTTGAACCATCTTGAAAAGATTGTGCGTTTTTATGGTAGGGAAATATCACTAGATGCTCTCCAGCACTACCATCCATGTTTACTTCTGTAAACACAAAGCATGCTGGCCTGTGATGTCATTGTGTCCTCTACTGCAAGTCTCATTTATTTGGAAATGTGAACGGCAACGCAAAAAAATCTGATTTCACAAACAATCGGAATTGAGCATCAAGGCCTGCAATGTGAACGTGGCCTAAATGTACTCTTTATCCAGGGTTTCCGCAGGGTCATTAAAAATGATTAAAAGTCATTCAGTTATTAGTCAATTAAGGCCTTAATTGGCATTAAAATTAATTAAATGTGATTATCATGGCATTTAAAATGCTTTATTTAAAAAAAAAAATTATAATAATAAGGCTAAGGAAAACAATTTCGTCAGATATGTTATATTGCAATATATTTACGTGGAACTGCTCCTGAAAAGAAGCTTGAGGCGGATGAAAAGCTAGAGAATTGGGGGAAAATGCAAATTTCAACAAAAGTGACTGGAAAAAACAGAATCATGGGTAGTTGTTGATGGCATAAAATAATTTCTAAGAGCATTAAAAAGCATTAAATTAGAGTTACCCATTCCTGTATAAACCCTGTTATCAGACTATATTGTTCCAAAATTTAGAAAATGTCCATTTAAAAAAAAAAAAGTGTCTTAAAATCATTATCTTATGCAAGCCAGTTAGTTATACGTCACCTTGTACACATGGAGCCTAGGCGGAAGTTCAATTGAATAAACTGATTGCTCCCCTATATCCACCTACGACTGAGCCAATCAGCTGTGAACCATGCCTCCACGAAAGCCAATCAGCATCCAAAGTTCATCTTAAAAGGCCTCCGATCTGCAACTCGTCTGCTCCTGTGCGCAGGCGGTGGATGCGCTGTGTGACTTCATTCCGATGACCCCATTTTAACCCTCCTCCAGCCCCTCCTCCTCCATCTTAGTTAAAACTTCATCAGAGTTTCATTCCTCCTGTATCTTACTGCGTTTCACGTCTCATTTCAACCGGTCTGGCAGAACACCGCCGTGTTGAGCCTGGTTCTGCCAGAGGTTTCTTCCCAGCGGGGAGTTTTCCTCTCCACTGTCGCTTCATGCTTGCTCATTATGGACAGTTTCTCTAAACCTGTGTTATCCAAACCGGACTTCCATCTTCCAGGTCCCTGAGTGAAGCTCTAGTATCAGCTCACGCAGTCCACTGGATCTCCCCATAAAGCTCAGCAGACCGTCTAACTAACCAGCAGTCTACAGACTGACCAACTTCATCTATCTCCACTCCTCCACCAGTTTCAGGGGCCAGGACTTTATCTACAGGGGCACTGGGCCCTGTTTAGAGCTTCCCATGTAAACTCTCCAAAACCAGAGCTCTTCTGCTTGCTCATGCCTCTGGTGACGTCCCAAATAGCCACGTGAACTGATCGTCTAAAAAAAATGGGGGGTGGGAATAATAATTTTTGGTTTACAAAATGATCATGTTCATGTGGAGAATTTGTTTTAATAGTAATTAAAAAAGATATTAAAAATTCAATCATGGGCGGTTCTAAATGGGTGGCCAACAGGGGCCAGTAGCCCTGTACTGAACTGGTCCAAACCCTCGTTATTGTCCCTGTACTGAAAGCAAAAGTAGCAAACACATTAAATATCAATATTTGGATTTTTCTTGAAGTGTATTTTACCATAATTTAATGAGGAAGGAAAATTTGTAGATGGAATAGGATAGTTTATGTTTAAAAAAAAAAAAAAAAAAAAAAAAAAAAAAACTCTGTTATCTTAAGTGCATATTATCTTGCATTAAGAGCAGAAATACTCATTCCTTTGACAGATCATCTTCTTTTCTTGCTCAAATTAAGGGCAAATGCACATATTTTAAGAACATTTTTACTTGTTTAGATCATTTTTTTCCCGTGTAACTAAATCCATTTCTTATGATCATATGTGATGACAGAAGAGACCGTTACTGATTCATGGACCAATTTAATGCTTTACCAGGACAGTTTACTTTAAAGATTATGTAGAAATTGTAGGCACACTATCACAGTTTTGTCTGTTAGATAGCAAGTGTGCATCCATGTCGTTGTGGCTCAGTTCTTATACTAAACAATGCACTCGTGTGTTATTTAGATCCAAGTCCCCATGAAAGAACATGAGCCCCATCGTTGCCTCCTGGTAAAATTGGTCTAGAAAGGCCACAATAATCTCTAAATCCATGTTTTATTTAGGTTGATGGAACAAGAGCTGCACAATATGTTCAATCTTAGTGTTTATTCGGATATTTTTGGTGGGAAAACTGCATGGATGTAATTTGAAGTCTTATGCATGAAAGGCAAAGAAAGCATAGTAGGATGGATAGATATGCAGCTTATCAAAATTTGTCCCTTTCCTACTTAGTCTGCACCAGTCAATTTGTTTTTTTTTATCATCTTCATTTTCATTTTGAAAAGAACATTCCTGTGCTTGTATTCTGAACACCGGTAGCTAATTATTTGTTGTGTTTGTGAGATCCCAGAATGTAGTCAAGTGATGTCTGTCATTTGGTACTGAGCATCACAAAAAGAATAACTAACTTCCATTATTTCCAACTAACTTATTAATGGTGTTTTATTTTGAAAAATGACCAAATTCTCTCCATTAAACCCGCCTATCACTAACTGTTGAAGTTTGTCGGGAACAACGCTTTACGCTTCTACACCCCCAATCTATTAAAAATTAGTAATAATCAAAACTTTTTTGTTTTACCTTCTACAGAAATATTGTCTGACATTAAATCATTCCTCTGATGGGGAAATTTAACCTCTAAAACCCACAGGAACTCGTGCCATTGCTTTTTAACCAGCTTGATTCAAGTTTTTGAGTGATCATGTGCAGCAACAGGTGGGGGACGGTCAGCTTTGCTTTTGGGTCTATTGAAAATGTGGAGATGAGGGGGTTATGAGGGGGTTTGAAGTGCTTAAAATCATCGGGAGGATTATCTCTTTTGTGAAGGCCGTCAGAATTAATCTGGCTCTAAATTGTAAACTCCAGCTGATTGGCCTCTTGTGATGTCATCAGTAGGGCTGGGTGTTTTCTCCAAACTCCTGAATCGATTCGATTTTGATTCATACAGTTCTAAATCGATTAATTTCGATTCGATCTTTATTTACAATAATGAAGGGTTAAGCTGTGTTTCAAAACACTCATGTATTTTTTTTTTCCTGTCATATTAAACACAAAGTGCAAACTTGTAAATCAGACAGTTTAAACTTGAGATGTGAACAAAACCTCAAGAGTGCAAACTGGTTTGTGCAAAGTGAAAAGGCCTCACTCGAGCAAGCAGACGTGACACAGCAGACATGCATGAGCTGCATTATCTCCACTGTACAAACCATATTAGCAGCGTTGTCTGTAACAACTACAGGGTGTTTGCTGGTCAGCCCCCATTTGTTAATCTCTTCAGTCAACCTATTGGCTATATTTGCAGCTGTCTGGCTTGAAGTCATCTTGAGTGCATCTTTCCTGCTCATCTGAATGTGAACGTCACACGTGTCACTATAAAACTAATCGATCTCATTCCCTAGACATCTATTTTGTAAGTAAGTGTAAAGGAATAGATTAAAAATTGATTAAATTGATTTTTTATTTTTTTTTAACCCAGCCTTATTCATCAGCCCAAATACAAACAAACCGTACCAGTAGTTTCAGGAAAAAAGTGTTTTGTGAAACCCAGAATTTTTCTCTCAATCTATGTTTGTGTTTAGTTTAGTTTATTTAGGATCCCCATAAGCTGTAGCAAGCTACAGCTATTCTTCCTGGGGTCCAACAACAAAACAAGAAAAAAAAAATAAAAATAAAAAATAAAAAATTACAAATGAAATAAAATTATGTGGACATTAAAACAACATCTCCCATAATCTATACATATACATATATACATACACACATATACAGATACATATATACATATACATATATACCCATATACATAAACAGAAACAATCCAAACTAATCAAAACAAACTACAAAGCACAGCAAGTCAAGAAGACAGTCCTAATCATGTTTTACCTCTATATTTAATAAATGTTCTTTCAATGATTTTTTAAATTTCCTTAAATCAGTTATCAGTTTAATGTAATTCGGCAGTAAATTCCATGCTTTCATACCTCTATACATAACAGTTCTTTTTAAGGCATTTGACTTTACTTTAGGCAAACTAAAGTTTCCTTCAGTCGCATGCCTAGTCCTGTATTCGTGATTCTCTGAACTAAAAGTAAGGTTTGTAAATAAAATATAAGGTGTTTTTAATACAGATATGTTTCTAATCATAACAGTCAATGAGTATGAAAGTCTGTCTTTAACCAACAACCAGTTTAACTTTTTATGCATTGTTATGATATTTGTCCTTAAATCACACTTCAATATTATTCGGGCAGCTCTATTTTGTACATGTTGTAGTTTATTTAGCATCTCTCCAGGGGCATTTGACCAGACGACTGGGCAGTAATCCATTTGAGAAAAAATCAATGATTGGATTATCATTTTAAGAATATGTGGGGACATAAAGGTTGCATGTCTTCTTATGACTGTGATTCCTCTACCCATCTTTGCAATCATGTTATTAATATGTTTTCTCCATAATAACGTGTTATCCACCGTCACTCCCAGAAGCTTGGACTCATGCACATTCCTTATCGAGACGTTATTGATATTAATATTCAATATATGATTACTGTTTACGTTGTAATTTGACCTCACAATCATGCTGTTAGTTTTTGCTGTATTCAATACCAGCTTATTTGCTTTCACCCATTTATCCACTCCCATTAGTTCGTTATTCATAATAATTTCTAATTCATTATTTGTTCTTGCTGATGTATATATAGTGGAATCATCTGCATACATAATTATTTTAGTTCTTTTGAGTATGTATGGTAAGTCATTTGTAAATATTGAAAATAATAAAGGACCCAGGCAGCTCCCTTGAGGTACACCACATGTTACAGTTTGTTTTTCAGAAAATGCACCATTAAAATATACCGTTTGTGACCGGTTAGTTAAATAACTGTAAAACCAAGTAAGTGCAGATTGTTCAAAACCATAGCAGGAAAGTTTTTCTAATAGCAGATGGTGGTCAATTAAATCAAAAGCAGCTGAAAAATCACTCACTAACAAAAGTTTTGTTAGTGAGTGAAATAAGCACCACTGGATCGTATCTTTACTGTAAATAAGGCGCCCCTCTTTTCTTATCATTCGCCTGTGAGGAGCGTTCAGGAAATCCCACACCCACTCCCAGTGGGGAGCAGCCAAGCATGGGCCACCTTGGGCTTCCATGACAGTTTCTATGGATTTGGGACCATTTTAAAGGCTTTTCTGCTCTTAAAAGTTAGAAGCAGGTTTAGCGTGGTCTGGCAGGAGGCCTGCAGTCTCGAAGCAATAAAAACATTATGAGGCCGTCATCTTCAGGAGGTGCTGCATGTTTAATGCACTATTTAATGAATTCCCAGAATCAGCAGCATCAGATTCTCCTTCCATTCATCTAACATCCAACCGCTGAGGCCTCGTGGCTTAAATCCAGCAATGACAGGAAGTGTGATCACTGACTCCGCCTCCTGGTTCAGGTAGGAATGAGGAAGAGAAGGTGTGACCAGACTCAGTAGTGAACGTTTGTTTGTTCAGGCAGGTCCTGGGTGAATCATCAGCAGTGCTGCTATTTCCTGTGTGTCTGTTTTGGGATAACGAGGAACTGGCTCACACCTCAGTGACTGCCACCTGTCACCCTGCAGAGCGAGAGTCAGGCCCGAACCTTTATATAATGGTTCCACTTAGGACTAATGCTGACTCAGAAAAACCAAATGTATGCTGTTGTTTTTTCATTATGTTTCCCATTAGTGGTGGCTAACATCAGATGACCGTCTGATGTTAGGGTTGTTGAGCTGACTCAGCAGCTTCTATTCCAGATACTTCAGCTTCATTTATCCCTGCATAGTTTGTGTGCTTTACCCAAGTCATGCTGTCACTCTTTATTAATTCTTTTTATATATGTTTTGTCTAAGTTTATCAAAACACGCAGAGATTACAAGTGGAACCAAAAATTTCAAATCGTCTTTGACAGAACTCGGGAAAAAGTTGCGCAAGCTATAAAAAATCAAAAAAATACTTATCTTTAGTGCGACCAGCTGATTTAGGAATTTTTGGTTCCCATGCGAGGCTGGTTGTTGCAAGAGGAGTTTCAGGTCTAAGCACCTAAACCATCATACATACATACTGGGAAAGAAAGAAGGCAGAGAGACAATTAATTTAGCTTTACTCGTGAGGAGAGTAGGAAGAGACTGCGGAGTTTAAAAATCTCCAACCCACTCTGCCGGTCTTCAGCTTTCTCCTCGCTATTTATTGAAGTCAGGGGATGTCCCTAATTACACAAGCTGAGGTTTAACTAAGGGAAAGGGAAACAAAATTATCTTACTTTAAACCTCAGCACATATGTTCAAACAAAGCATGTGGTTGTTTTACAATTGAATTGTTCCAAGAACACATGTTTAGAAGAAACGTGTTCAGGCCTCTATCACAACCCGTCCGTTGCATGACCTTTATATGGAACGATCTTTAGCAAGAGTTAATAAACGATGAATCACACATTATACATCATAATAGTTCATTAGTACACAACCCATGAAACACAAATATAAATATAGTAAAAATAAAATATTTCTAACAAGGAGACTTTTCTTATTTCAACATTTTTATTAATTTCTTGAACTCAAACAATGGAAACAACAATGTGGCTATATCAGGGAAATACCACTGTCTCTATTAGAAAAGACAAAGTTTTCACATTAAAGGGCTGGTTATATTCCCACAGCAGTCTGTCGCAGTTAGCTTGTCGCAGGTATGATGCAGATATGCCCAATTTTGGAGCACGGTCTGCGCTATGTTATTCTATCCCCAACGCAAGAGGGACAATCGCGAACTAGCCAGGATTGTGGGTGTCTGTGTGTCATTTTGACGAGCTTGTTCGCCGTCTACAAACCCTCATCCAAAGCCGGACAACGCACAGTTCGCCTGCAAGTGTTCCTGAATGACAGAGCTACAAACTAGCGTCCTGCATGGTGTCTGGGATAGCATCCAAGGCGTGCCAGGCATTGTGGAAGGCACTACAGCCAGAGTTTCTGCCATTAGTGCTAAACAGGAAATACTCATAGCGTAGAGCGGATGTAGAATATGCCAATCAGAGGCCTCCTGTCTGCGGCACTGTTTGCGGTCACCTACAGTTTTGGAGAGGGGAGGGCATATCTGCGTTAACTGAGACACATGCAGACAACCTGGTTTCTGAGCATAACCAGGCTTAAGTCCTCTAGGACCGTTTATTTATTTTAAGGAAAACAAATATTCAACTTTTGTTTTTAAAGGTCATATCTATTTTTTATCAAATAAAAATTACATAAAAGTGATATACCCACTTTCATTGTAATAATTATACAGAAAAGGGTCCCACATATATAAATGTACTTGTTACGATGTCAATGTTGCAGGAAAGGATTCTGCACCAATAGGAATACAGGGTCAAAGTCACATGAGATGGAGGGTCCTTCTAAAAATCTAATATTGCAGCTCCTGTCCTTCAGCTTTCCCAGGGTCAACTGTAAGATCGCTATCCAGGCTAGGAAAGGAACTTCAGAGCTCTGCTGAATCCAGAAAGCCTTACAGACGTTGCCACAGACATGCACATGAATGACGCTGGTTAAATTGGATCTGCAACCTTCCAGGAAAGTTGCTCAAATATAGAGAAGGGCTGAAGCTCTCTGTTATGAAACCAAAAATATATGTAGATGTGAACATTGTGTCCCACAGAGTACATGTGGAGAAGTAACTGCTGAGTTTGAATTCAGGGGCTGCGTCCTTCGAGGGCAGATTCGTAGGCCAATTATGTCATAGCGTTGCATCAAGATCTGTTTGGATTCCAAGACATTATTTGGCCTACAAATGCATCGTCCTTTTGCCTGTTTTGAAGGGTGGGTCCGGTGTATCCTACTTAGCCTTGGGTATCCCGGGATTCATTCAAGTCCAGTATCGGGTATTGCAGACTAAAAAAGAACCCAAACGACTTCCCATTCCTAAGGGGCGGATCCATTCTTTCAGGTGCAGAAAAGACAAAACAAGGCTTTGTTTTTGGTTCACTTTATAAAGCCTCGAACTCAAAGCTATTTCTGACATTTTGAATTGAAAAAGCTTTCTGGATGGAACTCGAAAAGTCAAAGTGTAGTAGATTATTTTTCAACTTTTTTGGAGTGACTATGACCTGGATGACATAGAATCTTGACCAGCAAAATAAAGAAACCTACAAAATGTTCTTTGGATCTGCTATTATTTTAAAATGGTTTTATTAAAATGGTTTATGTTGAGCAGGTAAATGGTAATTAAAATAGTTTTGTTTACAAAAAAAAAGTATTTTTGGGCCTGCAACGACTTTTCTCATGTTATTATAACCATGTTGCAAGAAATGTATGGACCCCACTAGCTGTAATGCTCTGGTCTACATTCTTCATTCGCTCTTATGTCTTTATAAAAAAGAATATGAAGCACGGTGGTGTTGGCATCATGCTGTTGGGATGTTTTGCTTCAGCAAAGATGAAGTGGGGCAGTGTGGATGGAAAAGATGGACTGAATAAAAAACCAGATGCTACAATAGAAGGTTAATGTGTTAGAATTAAGACAAAGCCCAATCCATAGAAAAAAGGTCAGTGAATGTCTTCATCCAGTCTGAGTCAGAGTTCTTTTTGTTTTCTAAATGCAGAAAAAGAGCTGAAAACCAAATGTGTGGTGGAGATGGAGGGGAACCAGACCGTTCTGCATTCAGCCATCAGTAACGTGAACAAAGGAGACCCCAGGTAAGCCACAGAAGTTTATATTGCTCCTCCAGTGACTCCTAGATGTAGAAAAGAGAGAATGATGTTGAATCTTGATTAATGGAAAGGAGAGACTGCAGCGGAAGCCTTAATCTAGATTCTTTATGTTTAGAAGCTGTTTCCTAATATATAGACTATTGTTCCTTCTGTTAAAGCAGTGATTCAGTTGAATAATATAGAAACATGTTGGTTAGAAGTACAGAAAAGTATAAATAAAAAGTATCTTTCCCAATAATTTTTTTATCTTTTAAGAAGTTGTGAGGCCTTTGAAATTACCAGACCAGGTGTCCGCTGGGAGCATAAAACCAAAGGCACAGGATCAAACAGCGATCGATTGTTCTTACTGCTTAATGTCAGTGTGTTAATATAAGAAAAGAAGGGAATTTACCTTATTTATACATAAATGTTCTATATGGACGTCCAAACCTTTCTCAGGTGGCTTTCAGCAGGAAATATTTTATCCCCAAGCGCTTTTTCTAAGACTAATTAATACCTCAGATTAAATTGATGGGTGTTTTTTTTTGCTCTTCATTCATTGTATCTTTAATAACGTTCTGATCAGAACAGCATTAGCAATTAAGTGTCCTTTACAATCATTTAAAAGCCAGAGGTCTGTTTCCTAGCTGGATGTTAAAGCCCCACCTGTAAAATATCTATATAAGAGCAATATAATCTCAGTTTGAATCCAGCTGCATTGTGAAAGAGGTTTAATGAAGAAAAAATTGAATTATGGAGACCAAGCCATACAGCAGGGAGGACAGAGGAGAAGCTGTGGATGGTGACTCTGGAGGAGCTGCAGAGATCCTCCGCTCAGGGGATGTTTAAGGTCAATAAAGGTCACCTTAATGGAAAAAGTTTTATCGAGTCCTTTACAAAGCCATAAACCAGTATAAGTAACACTAAATGGCGTGTTCACCGTATTTCCGGACTATAGAGCGCATCTCACTATAAGCCGTGCCCATAATTTAAAAACAAAAAAAACTGACACATTTAAGCTGCTAATATCTACTGAACTGTCCCCCACCAAACCTGTAGGGGGAGCTCTACATATAGCCCCTGGAGTAGGGATGAAGAAGAATGCTAGCTCCTGTTAGCGTGGTGGCTCGCAGCATTAGGAACTTTTACTGAAAGATGGGCTTTTGTCGCCTCTTTATTTCAGTTATTTATTTTCAGTTGAGCCCAGTCTCTTTATTGGTTTGGAAGCTTTAATGCAGAAAATAAAATGCTAAAGTGGGTGAATTCAGGAGATTTGTTCTCCGTGGTGCGTGCTGCTAGCATGTTCTTGTGCTAAATGAAAATTAGCCCCTTATTCTTTTATTTCCAACTTTGACCTTTCCCCCTCTGGCGGTTATGGAAAAGTCAACAGAAAAATCTCACGTTCTTAAAAGCCACATGGTTCAAAGCGTGGGAAAAAAGTAGTGGGTTAAGGGCTGGTTATATTCCAGCAGCAGTGTGTCGCAGTGAGCTTATCTCAAGTATGATGCAGTTTTTTTTTATTTATGCTCAATTGTGAAGCGTGGTCTGCGCTATGTTATTCCACGCCACAACGCAAGAGGAACAATCAGGAACCAGCTGTGGGTCTAGATATGACCGAGGTGGCGAGGAACTGGGGGCAAGTTTGTGCGACAACCTAGGGACATGAGGGCGAAAAAGAGCAGGGATCCAGGTGGAAAAAAGGGTCCCAGCGTTGTTGCGCACCTCACTTTTCTAGCTGGTCCAACTCCATTAGTCATTTTCCACAAACAAACAGGAAATACGCATAGCATAGAGCAGATGTAGTTTTGACCAATCAGAGGCCTCCTGTCTGTGGTCACCTCCAATTATGGAGAGCTGCAGCAGAGTGTCTGCGGAAGGAGGGGGCATATCTGCGTTAACTGTGACACACACAGTTACGACCTGGTTCCTGAGCAAATATAGTCTGGAAAATACGGTACATCTTAGAACTGTCCAGTCAAAGTCTAGATCCAAATCCAGTTGGGTAGCTTTGGCAGAACCCCAAAATCACTGTTCAGAAGTTCTCTGTTCAGTCTGGTCGGACCAGAGCTGCTTTCTAAGAAGAACTTGCTCAGATTTAGATTTTTTTAGACGTAGAAAGCAGAGATGGGAAATGTGGAGTCAACAAGTCATCTCCATGTCATGTATTTGTTCTACCCACCCACTGAAGCAGATGAGTCCAATCTTCACTGTGAATTAACCTGTGCAGATTGGACTCACCTGGTTAATTGACTGGGGAGATTAAATACATGACATGGAGATGACTTGTTGACTCCACATTACCCATGTCTGGTAGAAAGCAGCTATAGACACCACCTTAAGGACTTCTAGCCACACTTTTCAGATTCTTTGTTAAATCTGTGTATCATTTCTACTTCACCCTCACAGTTGGTCACATAATATCCCACTAGAAGTTTTTATTTTTCAATGTTGATAGCCGTTTCTGGTTTTTTATATCACATCTGAGCTAAAGGATTAGTCCCAGTCCATTCTTCCTCTGATTGGTGGAAACTGTAGCTTGGTTTAGATCCAGCAGCCTGGAGGATTTTTCTCTATCTTCCCTCTCTTTACAGAAGGTGTGTCTGTTGCTCAGGTACTATTAACCCTTCAGTACAGGAGAGGAAAAACGCTGCAAGGAATCTGGTTAGATTTGCTTATATCTTTCAGAGCCTGATGATGCATTCTAATTGTAAAATCAGCGCGTTTTAAACCGGTCGCTCAACAAGGGTGACTCCTTTACTGAGCAGCTGAGCTAGATTTTCCCCTGGAGGTTTATCATCCAGTCTCACACCTCCTTGCTCAGTATTTCCTACAGGACTCTCTCCTGCAGGCAGAAGGGTGGGACTCTCTTTGTCCAAACATAAAAGCCTTGAATTTCATAATTACTCTTTGCATTTTTCTGCTGTGCGTGTGAGTTTTATCTGCCACAACATGCTCCTGCAGAGGTATGTTTCTCCCTTTGGGGATTGACATGAACAAGTCCTGCAGGCTCAAGGCAAAACATGCAGCTTCATGGTTGCAGAACAGCACAAAGGTCAAAGAAAAAAACACTGAAAGGTGAACTGCTTTGTTGAGCCAGTTTTTAGGATTTTATCTGCAGAGAGATAAGATCTGGTTGATGATAAAAGGTGACCTAATGAGTTTGTTTCCTGTCTGTGAATTTCGAGTCCATTAGAGTTTTTTACAGACAAGAAGAGGGATTAATACCGAGTCGTCTCCTTTAACAGGTTTGACCTGAATGTTTGGCGGATGTTCTGACATGAAGCGACTCATTAACACCTGACTCTGTAAACTACTGTGGATACTAGGGAGGGCAGAATCCAGTTTAGCTGTTCAGGGCTGCATGCTGGTGGTCAGGGACTTTCCTCCTCCCCTTGATGTGACTCCTCGGTGATCCGAGGCACGGCCAGTTATCTCAGGAATGTTCTGGCCAGCGCAGGAGAAAGGAAGACTTAATGTTGCTCTTTCATAGAGCAGTGAGTTCTCACACAGAGGCCTTGTTTCATTACAGCTCATCTGTTTGTGTGGCCAGGACTACAAGCCCTAAATAGCTATTTCTGCCTGGGTGAAGGTAATCGTTGATGCATTTAAGGGTGCAGAGAAGTGTTATTTCTGCACACAAAGTTGTGCTTTTTTGACTGTTTCTCCATCAGCGACACTGCATCTTTTGACTGCACACAGCGGTTTTCATGGAAACTGGAGTTCAGATTACTGTGAAGCCATCCTGCCTGTCATGCAACCAGCGCTTCAGTTAACCATTCACTTCGAATTCTGCAAAATTATGCAGTTGAATGAGAATTTGGGTGTATTTTACACAGATGACCCTATCTCTGAAAATTAGAGGATAGTTTGTTTCAGACATTTTTCCAGCGTCTCCATATCTGCCCCTTTTGGAATTTATATCTTTCTGTATACAGACACTTATATAAAAAAATATAAAAAAAAAAAAAAAGAATATATATATATTAGGGGTGGGTATTGCCAAAGAAGTCACGATTCGATTCGAATCACGATTCACAGGCCACGATGCGATTCTATCACGATGCATCGCGATACTTGAATTATTGCGATGCATTGCAATATTTTCTCCTCCATGTTTTGTTTTTTAATGACTCGGCACAGTATCCCACGGCCGGAAATGCTTGTGACACAAGGCAGTGTGCGTCAACACATTTGCAGCGACATCTACTGGACTGGAAGTGGTATTGCACTTGTTTTTGGCTGATGTTCGCCAACCATTCATGCAATTTTATTTATTCATTTTTTTAAATTAATAATCGATTCTTGGCATCAAGAATCGATGCAGTAGATCACGAAAATTAGAATCACGATGCATCATCATCATGATTATTTTGCACACCCCTAATATATATATATATATATACACACACATACATACATACAGCAAGTAAAAAAAAAAAGTATTAATCACGCCACCCTTTGTCTTAGGAAATAAATTTCTAGAGGTTTTATTGACATGACATTTTCACCAGAGGTTGGTAACAATCGATGCAATCCACACATGCACACAAATCAAACCATAGATGTCCAGAAATTAATTTGTGTAAAACAAAGTGTAATGGCACAGGGAAAAAGCATTTAACACGTGAAGAAAGGGAGGTGCAAAAAGGCCTGGACGGTACTAATATGGTAAAACCGAAAGTTAAAAAAAGAAATTGTGGGCATGCCCTGGTGGTACAGTGGTTAGCATGCACGCATCTGGCCTGTGGTCCTTTGCTACATGTCTCTCCCCCTCTCTTGTACCCCCTTTCCTGTCAGCCTACTGTTCAATAAACGAGACATTAGGACCATAAAAACCTAAAAAAAAAAAAAAGGGATTTAAGTCTTATAAACCTAGAAATTTTTACACATTTGGTGGCCTTTTTGACATTCATCAGCTTGATTTGATATGTATTTAATATATCCGAAATACATTTCTTCATAGTCCAAATAATACAAATGCTGTCACAATAAATATAGATATCTGAAATTAATTTATAGACTTGCAAAATTTTTATTCTAGATGTGAAGAATGTAATATTGTTTGAAAATGTATATCAGAAATACATTTTTAGACAAACTAATAAATATCACAACAGACTGCCATAGTCTGTTTTGATGACAAACGTTACGTGGTAAAGGGTTTTCTATTTCAATGGTAGTGGATCAATTTATTCTACTTCTGTGCAATCTGATGGTAGAGAAGCGTACCTTTCAGCAGGTAAGGTTGAAGTATAAAATGTTCTAACAGGTAGAACCTGTGCATCATCTCATAGGGTTCCTCCTCATCTTAATTCTGTCCTTATTACACAATAAATACTAAGTGGCTGTCTGACCGTGCAGCTGTTACTATATTGCTGTTATCACCCATCAATAAGCTCCCACTGAAATCGGATTCTGTTCAATACCTGAGGTATTTGTAATTCTGCTAATGTGAGGACAGATGGGGTCTGGATGTATGTGATTGTGAGATGAAACGGTAGGATGCAGGAGATAACAGAGTATAAATGACATCTATACACAGTCTAAGAACCTTCTCCCTGTGGAGATTTAATTCTCTGAATTAATACCGCTAATAGTTTAATTGGATCCTCATCAAAAAGAGATGTTATATTTTTATTTTTAACACCTAATGTGTCTAATGGACTTAGTGACTGATTTTGTCTTTATTGTTCACACTATGAAAGAACTCTACTGATTAGATTAGGAAATAAAATACCATGATTGGCTCTAAGGAGGGTGGAGACAGAGGACGGTTTATTGAGGTTACTATGGTAACAGAAACACAGGTTGAATAAATTCTCTTTGTGAAACGGAAAAATCAGCTTGCCTGAATTTAGGGTAAGGAGCTCAGGAGCTCAGCTTGTGAGTGTGACAAATGACTGGAGCTTAGAATGAGTTTGATAAGTGAATTTGAGGCTAACTTGCTGGAATGCAGTGTTGTGATGGATGACTGCTGTGTCTGACTGGCTGCAGACTGATCAACATTCCTCACTCTATTTACAGGCAACAAGAGAGGATTAATATCCTGATTACAACACCTTCCACTGAGAAATTAGATATGGTTTTCCATAATAACTTCCTGCTGAATTTAAGATGAAATGTTTAGTAGGGATTGAGTCCCTATGAAGAAATGTACTAAAAGAATGTCATAATTCTGGTCGGCTTTTAAAATGCAGCATAATTAAATTGTTTTTTATAGTTTATTGCACATATGTCAAAGTCAAGGCCCACCCTGTGGGCCGGATACAGGTCCATGGATAAACAATCCATGGCCCAAAGTGGGGCCATGGATTGTTTATCCATGGACCATTTATTTAGATGATCCACCCAGGAATAAAAGATCGTCCTCTATACCTTTAAAGAGGAATGATGGAGTTTTCTAATCATACTGCCACCTGTGGCCAAAACACAGAGCGGCAGTACTCTTCTGCTCGTCCCCGCAGCCTTTACTCGTACTCAACAAGTTTTTCCTTTTTGTTTACTTTTTTCACCTTGTGTAGAGTTGGTTTCTGAGTTGAGCTGGATGCCGGTTGCTTGAGTATCCATAAAATCCATCTTGACCATAACATATTGATTGTTTGCTAGGTCAGACATGTTTAATAGGGACGAGCTTAAAGTCACATCCACCGAACAGCATAATAACTTCCAACCCAAAGTGCATAAAAAAAAAAATAGGCTAAACATTTATAGATGCATCGGCGCTGAACTACTGAGGTGTCAGTCTGCTCATCAAATGATATTTAGACATAAAGATAAAAAAAATTGTATTTTAAAAATTTCCCGTTAAAGCTTGTCTGACCAAAACCTCCAAAAACCCAGACTATGACGACTCATTTCTGCAGTCACTGAAAGACCAACATTTCTACTGTTAACAGAAACATTGCCGTTGTTGAATCGGATGTCAGAAGGCCTCCTTCAGATGTCCGTTTTAACTGAACAGAGCATCAGATCTGGTGTAAAGAGGCAACCAGCTCTATGGGTCTAGAAAAACCTGCTGAACTCCACTGAGATTGTGTCATTCTTCACATTCAGCCATAATTTGCCGTCACACTGATTCTTTCTAACTGGTCCTAATGGATCCTCTTACATCCTCCTCCCAGGTCCAGGTTAAAAACAACGAGGCGGCCTTAGTGTGTCAGAAAGCAGGATTTAGTAGAATGTGGTCTCCTCATGTCGCTGTCATTTCCTTTTACGGTAAATGAGGACTAAGATGAGAAACTTTTTAGTCACTCAACAAGGATCAGCTTTTATTTTATTTATTTCTTGAACAGATAGGGACCAGAATATGTTGGGATTAACCCTGATTAAGAGTGAAATTAAGGATTTAAATGGGATGATGGTCTGACAGGATGCTGGATTAATGATGGAAACATCATAGATCAGTGACCAACCGCTCATTTTTACTGATGGGATCTATTCATCCCATTATTACTGGTTCTATCACATGTTTATGTCAGTTTGGTACATTTAGTTGATTGCTTAAATGATTCCTGTATTATCAAATCTTAACTTTATTTTTTTGAGCTAAAGCTTCTACAGTAAACGTAACCAGAGATATAAAACTGATGCTGAGTTTGTTTTATGATGAAATTATAAATGTGGTTGGGTTTCTTCATAAAGCACTCATTAACTGTTGTTTTTGTCTCTGCTCTGATCCCAGGAACCAGCCTAAGGTAACAGTTTGTATATATTTTTATTAATAAAGTGGCCTACTGTCCACTGAGCTAATCGGCTCCCATGTTTTCCTCAGGTGTTTGCCTATGACTACTGCTTCTGGTCCATGGACGAGTCCCAGAAAGACAAGTTTGCAGGTTGGTTTATTTTTATGCTGCCCGTTGGCCGAGTCCCGACACAATGTCTCCCTGATACACTGATGTATTTCTGGAGCTCCGGGAAGGCAGCGCAAGTGGAGCAGATGGAAGCATTTGTCTGCAGCCGCTTTATTCCAAAACAACAGACAGACCAGCCAGACTGAAGCACTTCATTTACTCTAATACTGATCATATCCATCCCTGGCCTCTTTGCTCTGCATTTCATCCTCCAGCTAGTGAGGATATTTCTGATGTCTGATTTCTTCTCCTTTTGCAGGTCAGGATGTGGTGTTCCAGTGCCTTGGGGAGAGCCTTCTGAACAACGCTTTCATGGGCTACAACGCCTGCATATTCGCTTACGGACAGACGGGTAAAGACGCCATAATTAATTACTTTAAAGGTTGATCTTCAACCAAACTGTAAAGTATGGGGCTGAAAGCATCACACTGGACTGCTGCTGGAGGCATTGGTAAGAGGTTAATATAAAATACATTTTTACATGGATCCTATCATCTAAAGAAAAAAAAAAAAGAAACTTTTGCATTCACCATATGTGATAAATGTGCAAATGTCATCAGTACATGCATCCATACATCGGTACATCCGGAATTTCCCCATTTTGGGACCATAAAGAGATTTTCTATTCTATTCTATGAATTAGTTTTAGGAGTGTAAAAGAAGTTAATCTTTTCTGGAATAACTGTCCACTCTTATATATCTACTATACAAAAATGTCAGTTTTTCTCCCCTGATTTTGATTGACTATTAAACTTTTTTAAAGTGGATCTTCCACAAAAAGTACTATTGGCAGAAATTACTGCAGAGTTGACAAGTTCTGCAATTCTGGTTCCGTTACAGCAGGAAGAATGGGCCGAAACTATGAGTGAAGCTTCTGGAACGAAAACCCACTCAGTTTAGACTAACTATGAAAAGGAATTTATCAAATAGAAATAAAACCAGGAAGCAATTCAGCCTATTTTATATTGTATAAATATCTGGTTCTGGCTGGATTTGGATGGTTTGGTTCCGTCTTCCCTCCAGGTTCTGGGAAGTCTTACACCATGATGGGTTCAGCGGAGCAGCCTGGCCTGATCCCTCGTCTTTGCAGCTCGCTGTTCAACAGGACGGTGAAGGAGGTCCGAGACGGAGAGACCTTCGCCGTGGAGGTGTCCTACCTGGAGATTTATAACGAGAAGGTCCGAGACCTGCTGGACCCCAAAGGGTGAGAGCTCTACTTCATCTTCCTCAAGACTTTTTAAGGCTCGTTGATAAAAATCCCCATGTTATGTCTGAACTTACAGCAGTGCTGAAATAATCAGCTTTTGTTGGTTCTGCAGGAGCCGCCAGGCGCTGAGAGTGAGAGAGCACAATGTTCTTGGTCCTTATGTGGACGGTCTGTCCCGCCTGGCCGTGGCCAGCTACAAGGTAACAGAATGGCCGCTTCATTCCTCCTGTTGTGACGCTTTGCTAAAGGAAAACTGGTAACTAGATGTGTGCCATACGTCCCCATCAGGACATCGAGACTCTGATGTCAGAGGGAAATAAATCTCGCACCGTGGCAGCAACAAACATGAACGAAGAGAGCAGCAGGTCCCACGCCGTGTTCAACGTCACCCTCACGCATACGCTGGTGGATCTGCAGTCCGGGGTGAGAAAAGAGGAAAGGGAAGAAAAGCATTAAAGTTTTGTTAACAAGGAAGCTCACACTGATGTTTTTGTCTGATTGATTGCTCCAGACGCGTGGGGAGAAGGTGAGCAAGCTGAGCCTGGTGGATCTTGCTGGGAGCGAGCGAGCGACCAAAACCGGAGCAGCTGGGGAAAGGCTGAAAGAAGGCAGCAACATCAACAAGTTAGTGACCAGGTTTCAGCTCAGGAGGCTGAATCACGCTGCCCTCAGTTTATCTGATGCTTGTCTCTAGTTGGATCATTCATTTGATAAATGCTGATGATCTGCTAACCTTTCTCTCTCCTGAAATAACCCCCACCGATCGGCCCCTCCCATCAGGTCTCTCAGCACTCTGGGTTTAGTTATCTCAGCTCTGGCTGATCAAGGAGCCGGAAAGAACAGAAGCAAGTTTGTTCCCTACAGAGACTCTGTGCTCACCTGGCTGCTCAAGGTACGGACACGACCCCCCCCCCCCCACGCACACACACACAGCAGGCAAAAACAGCCGCTCCTGTTTCACTGCACCCCTCCTCCATCCAAGCACAATAAGCCTTTTTTTTTAATCTCAGAGTAATTAACTTTCTGCAGAGCTGTGGAAACCGTCAAAAGCTCTGCTGCTTTATTCTTCACAGTTCTGCTGAATCAAACATTTTTTTCCCACTTGCTTTAATTCTTTAATGTTTATTTAAATTAGTCAGATTTAAATTGGCCTCGGATTGCCTTAAAGACTCAAAAGTTTTGTGAACCGAAGTTGCTCACAGCTCCAGCCCAGTTATTTGGTGTTTCTAGAGTTTCTAGGAACTTATTAGAAAGCAGTGACTTTCTGTCATTTTCAGGCCGTAAATATGATGTGACACTGGAGCCAATTTAAGCCACTGCGCTGGATGCTGATTATTGAAACTGTTAACTGTTTGGAGGATGTGGAGAGTTGTCTTTTAGCTAGGGCTGAAACAATTAATCGGATTAAACGATTACTGAAATAATCAACTAATTTAGTAATCGATTAATCGTTAACTGTAGTAAAGAGACTATAAATCATGCTTTTAGGTGACAGAAATCCACTTAGAGCTGTTAGTTGCAGATATTGTAAAAAAGGCGGCGGGGGGGATCTCTGTTCCCATGCATAGAGATGTCTGTGGCATGCACTCACTTAACATAGGCCTACGTAATCCTAAAATAACATTACATTTACAGTTGATTTATTAAAAATGCTTTTTAGTAAAAGTCAACAGCAGTAACTTCAATAACAAATTATAATTTTATTCAAAATGTATTTATTAAAAATGCTTAACAATTCCTTTAATGAATGAATAGCACAATGAAAGAAATAATGTCTCATCTAAACATCCCTCACTTAACAATAAAAGTTAACAATAACTCAACTCCCAATCACAGATGATACTCAGCCTCAGCAATGAAGGAAATAATGTCTGTTCTGTAGGCTATTGGAAAAAAATAATTTAACAAATGAGCTAATTAACAAAAAATACCTCTTGTGTAGCAAAAATAACTGAAAATGTACCAAAAACGAACAAACATATCAATAGACTATCTTTACTTTCGGAGTCCAATTGGCTTTTCAGATCCCTTGCATACGAACATGTCCCGGGAAATACGGACGTTTGGCCACCCTAGATTGATAGACTACCATTTCAGGTCAGGCATTTTATTCTGTAATGCCGCATAACCGTATGCTGTTGTAAAAACTGATTTTTACATGGACCTGCCCAGCATATGTCTGCTTCTTGGCCTGGAGGACTTGCTTGGACTCTAGACAGTGAAGCAGGTCCCAGTCTGTGGGGCCAAGAAACACTTGGGATGCCTCTATCAAGCACAGGGGCGGATCTGTGATGCTTTGGGCGCGTTCTGCCCCAAATCCTTTCGCTCCGGTTTTAAATACTAATAAAACTTCTATAACACAAGTTTTAAAAGAACATCTATGCTTGTAGACTGAACAATGCAGGATGAGATCCATTGTAGCATATTTGCTGAGAGCTTGGATTCTGCATCTGCAGGACAGCCTTGGAGGTAATAGCCGCACCGTCATGGTCGCCACCATCAGCCCGGCAGCAGACAACTACGACGAGACGCTGTCCACCTTGCGCTACGCAGACAGGGCCAAGAGCATTGTCAACCACGCCGTGGTCAACGAAGACCCCAACGCCAGGATCATCCGTGAGCTCCGAGAGGAAGTGGAGAAACTCAAGGAGCAGCTCACAGAGGCAGAGGTGCACATCGCTGGACATAGACTTGGTGAGCCATAGGATTAGTCAGATTAAATACAGCTGCTGTGTTTCTACAGTCGATGAAAGCTCCTGAGCTGAAGGAGCGACTGGAAGAGTCTGAGAAGTTAATCCAAGAGATGACGGTCTCCTGGGAGGAGAAGCTCCGCAAGACAGAAGCTGTTGCTCAGGTAAAATTTTGCCCTTTCCACGTTTCTTAATATCAAGGTTGTTTCCCTTTTTCCGCTTATGAAAAGTACCTGTTCAGTCAATTCTGCGTCTTGTAGGAGCGTCAGAAGCAGCTGGAAAGTCTGGGTATCTCCCTTCAGTCGTCCGGCATCAGAGTGGTGGAAGACAAGTGTTTCCTGGTCAACCTCAACGCTGACCCCGCCCTCAACGAGCTGCTGGTCTACTACCTCAAGGTACGCCACCCGAACACGCACATCTTCCGCTCAGATAAAAGAAAGTTAACCCTCCAGCTGTGTACCGTTGCCAGGATCACGCTCGCGTGGGCTCAGCCGACTCGCAGGATGTCCAGCTGTGTGGGATGGCCATCCAGCCAGAGCACTGCGTCATCGACATATCGGAGAACAGCGTGGTGCTCACTCCTCACCGCGGGGCACGGTATGCTGTCTGGTCACTAATAAAAGAGCCTCTTGTGTTTGTTGTCATGAATCAGGGCCCTGTCACACCTTGCTAGCATGTGTCACAGAATCTCTCTTTCTATGTATTTTTTTCCCTTTAGGGTGTATACATAGCATATTCATAAGGAGTCCAGAACTTATGTCCAACGACAGTCTAACTTATGCATAATGCTCATGAAATGTCATAAGCCAGTGTTCTGAAGGGGGCCAGCGAGGCACCGGGAGATGCCCGGCCTCAATAAAAAGATGTCTTTGATAGTGGTAACCTAGCTGATGTTTACCATACAACAAAAATAAAAATAAAAGAATAAATAAAAAGAAAGTAGGTGTGCTGTCGCTGCAGATTCAGCATCATGTCTGCCAGGAGGTTTGTTGGCCTTGGGCGTAAACGCAGAGAGGATCCATCACACTCCCCTTCACACTTGCCTTATGATCAGGATGAAGTCTGGAGGAGTACTGAGAGTTTCCTCCTGTGAACTCCCTTTCATACCAAAATGCTGCCAATACGCCATTATACAGTAGCTGTGAGTTAGAAAAACGTCCAGTCGTAGTCTGGAACACGTCAAATACCTTTAATATGGGTTGGAGAAAAGTTCTTGATAAGTTACTCATAGGTTTTGGATATGCCAGACACCACCAGTAATTTAGACTTACCGTATGTCAACGATAAGACTCCTTACCTGTAACTTAAGCCCATGTATGAACATACACTGGCATATGTCGAGAAAGTTTGAGCATACTGAACATTTCTCGACGCACTCTCCGTATGTCGATGTGTGCCAAAGTGTTTCAGCGTGCTCATAACTTATACGTTTATGTTTAAGTTTCCACAGAGTTAAGTAACCAGTTCCCAACTTGGAGGGAAACTAACGTCTGTTAAACCTGAATGTCAGGCTTTGACGTAGATGTAAACCAAGCTTTACATCTTTAAAGCAACACTATGTAACTTTTAGCCACTCGGGGCATTAGAACTGTAACTACCAGGTTCGGCTTCCTTAAAAGCAACTGACAACAGTGCAATGTCGGAGTTAAATGGTTTACCTCAATGTTTTGGAATCTGGTGGCACCACTGTGGACCAGCAGATCGAGACGTTAGGGATCTGCTGGTAAAGATGAGGCCACAGTCACTAATCTGACAAGCCAGATTGATCATCTGTAGAAGCCAAGTTTAGTTTTAAACATTATTAATCTGGGGCTGCTCACATGTTTGAGCAAAGCGACACCGGATTCCTGGCCTATAAATGTTGTTTTAGCCAATGATGGCAAATGAAATGGCAGCAGACGCCATGAGAAACCACAACGATTTACTTTTCCTGGTTTCACGTACGTCTTCCAACACTTCTGTTTGTTTTGGTTCGACCGTTCTTGCTTTCAGTTAAACTATATGTCCTGCCTTAAACTACAATGCCACAACGTGGTTTTCCAACTCAAGTGATTTAAGCTGTACCATTTCAATTCTCATTTTTATAAACTCACAAATACACATCAAGTATTTTAAATTAAGCTTATACTTGGGTCAAAAGTCACAGTGTTGCTCTAATAGAAAATTTCCCATGCAGCAGCCATCTACAAACCCATAGAGGGCAGTGTTGAGATGGTTTTAGGCCTAGTCAAAATTATATAAAAATTTTCGCAATGATGTGAAGAAAGCGGATTTGTCCAATTTATCATCAAAGAAAATTGATTTGGGGTTTAGTGAGATTTAGTTACTTCATCTGCGTTTAGGTTAGCATTAGTAATGGCAAACTATATGTGGGTAGTTTTCAACCGCGCTCTGCTTTAGCATAATTGATTCGGACATTTGGGTCATCGGTGGTAGAATTTACCCCAATTCAGAGGAAAAGGTTCCTGTATTTTTATCCTTTTGGTTCACGTTTGTTAGTTTGAGAAACCAGATCCTTACATTAATTTCTTCTGCCTTCCTGTTATCTCTTGAAAGTCTCGCTCTCCCTAAACTTAAATGCACTGCAATCATGTATGACGTATAGAAAAGTTTCTTCCTTCGCTTTATGGGCTGTCTAGCATTGATTCTCCATCCACACCACAGACTGCTGTCCTTTGAATCTTGTTTACTTGTGAATGTTGTTGATGATGCAGAACCTGTGTAAATGGCGCGGTAGTCACCAGTCAGATCCAGCTGCATCATGGTGACAGAATCCTGTGGGGAAACAACCACTACTTCCGGTTGGTTTCAGCTCATTACTCTGACATCTCACCTTTTTGTTTATTTCCTCTTGGTAGAACAAACGGCTTTTCTTCCTATATTTTTTAATGAACTTCCTCTATCTACAGGATCAGCCTCCCCAGGCACAGAGGGCGAGCGGCAGGCGAGGACGAGGGCGGTGGAGCCGCCATGCAAAAACGCCTGAGCGCCGAACAGCTGGAGGCAGATCTGGACTCGACCAGTGACGTCTCCAGTGACCTGAGCTTCAGCTATGAGTTCGCCCAGACCGAGGTCATGATGAAAGGGATGGGCACCAACGGTGAGTCACAGCAAACCTCCTCAGTGCTGGAATGAGGGGCTGGAAAAGAATCGCTCTTATCAAACGTCCTCAGGCAGCTTGTGCAAATATTTAGAGGCCAAACGGCTCGACTATATATGCCAGTTTAAACAAGAGGCTGTGCAGCATTTTGTCTGCACACTTTGCCTCCCAGAAGGCACGTTAGGAGGGGAGCTTTAGGCTGCAGATGTCTTTCAAACATGTCGTCATCCTGTGGCTCCTCTTCCTCTCCCAGACCCCCTGCAGTCGGTGCTTCAGACCCTGGAGAGGCAGCATGAGGAGGAGAAGCGCTGCGCTCTGGAGCGACAGAGACTGATGTACGAACAGGAGCTGCAGCAGCTCAGACAGCGCCTCACTCCTGAAAGGCCCGCCCATTTTTCAGACGCATCAGCCGCCGCCCCGTCGTCTAACAAACGTTTGCGGCGCTGGAGCGAAGACAGGTAAACCACGTCTATATGATGTGAAATGATCCCACGAAGGAACATTTATTTATTTCTTTATTTTCTTTTGTTTTGCAGAGAAGCGTTGATGACCCGCAGCCTGCGGCGCCTCAGGCAGCAGATAGTTCGGGCCAAAATGTTGGCCGAAGAGGCCAGCTTCATTGCCGAAGAGCTAAACAAGAGGACGGAGTACGTGGTGACCCTGCAGATACCCGCTGCCAACCTGGACGCCAACAGGAAGGTAACACCTGCGTTTATCAGAGACGTGGAAACAACCTCCTGGTCAGATGGGAGGTTGTATCAAAATAAAATGATCAGAATAAAAGTAAACATTTGTTGAAACAAGCGTTTCCCCTTCTTAGGAGCATTCCACTAAAATGAGTATTTTAGCCTTTAAATTGAAATAATTGTATTTTTTTTTATTCTAAGGTCAAAAATCTTTTTTCATTGGAAGATAATTTTGTTTACTTTCATGATTTCAGTATAATTCACTTATTTTAAGGAAACTGCTCCTTTGTAGCTCACCTATTGCACTGCATATGTTACCATGGAGACTGAACTCAGGTTAATGGAGCCTGAGTTAGCTGGTAATGCCACCTGCCGCTGCAGTGCAGTTTGATCTCCCATTCAGGAGTGGTTTTGTTAAAAGCAGTGATGCTTCTCTGTCGCTGCAGCGTGATGCGGTCCTGAGTGAGCCGGCCATCCAGGTCCGTAGGAAAGGGAAAGGGAAGCAGATCTGGGCCCTGGAGAAGCTGGAAAACCGGCTGGTGGACATGAGGGACCTGTACCAGGAGTGGAAGGTCATGGATGAGGATAACCCTGTGAGTAGAGACGCCAGGCTGACGTTTGGAATCGGGACGACAGCATTACAGCCTTTTCTTCCTGATTCAGATGATGAGATACTTCAAGCATGAAGACCCCTTCTTCGATGAGCAGGAGAACCACAGTCTGATCGGTGTGGCCAACGTCTTCCTGGCCTGCTTGTTCTATGACATTAAGCTGCAGTATGCAGTGCCCATCATCAACCAGAAAGGAGAGGTAGGATACATGAGCAGCATCACCAACACACACTTTCTGTCATTTTTGGAGTAAATGATGTGGTTTCATGTTTCACTGTGTTTACAGAAGGACTGGTTATTTTAATGCAGATGGATTTGCATGTAAATACTGATTAAATACACAGATTAAACAATACGGATGATATTACATGGCTGGGTTTGACTTTAGCACAGAACAAATGTTTGCTTTGCAGTTTAGAAACATAGAACCAATAGAAACCAAAGGAAAAAAGGGGTTGCGCATTCCAGATACTGCCCCCTGGTGGCGACAAGTTGGTACAATCAAACAATAAAATGCTGAAATTACGGCTGAAACTAATTATTATTTTGCAGCTCGATTAATTTGTCGATTCATCATTAATAATCGGAGGGTTCCTTGAAGAAGATTTATACCAAATGAAACCAGGGGAAACGTTTTCCAATTGTGGAGTTCTGAAAATATATATTTATATATTTTTTTCATAACTTTGACATAATTAATGCTCTAAGTGGTTCATTCTGTCAGCTAAATGCATTTTTAAGGTCTCTATAATCCAGTTAATTATTTATTGATTGCTCAATTAGTTGAGGATTATTTCAATAATCGATTAATCTGATACATTTTCTTATGCCCTGGCAGAAAAGTTAAATGTTAAAATTTGATTTTGTTCCTCTTGTGAACTTGACCCTTAACCATGGCCTAAATATCTTGTAACAATATTTAGTGGTACTATCATGATATAAATAAAATTGAGGATAGAAATACACTTTATTAACTCTTTGAAGCGATTATCAGGTAACTGTGTATCTGTGGCTGCATGTCACACAATCATAGCCCATAATTACAATTAATGCTGCAAATAAAACGTTTAAAATGGACTTCAGGCCGCCATAAAGAAGTGTAATTATTATCATTAAACATGATTTATATCACTAAAGGTAGTAATGTTTATTCAGGTTCTTCCAATTTGCTAATGCCCCAATGGAAAAAAAATGATTGAAAAAGAAGCAAAATATTTAAAAAATCCACAATTCACGCTTTTTTTAATCATTTCTAAATATTTGTCATTTAGAAATTGAATTTCTAAATATTTATTGTTTAGATGTTGAATCCAAATTATTATTCTGACTAGAAATAAATTACAATAAAGAACGTTTTTTTAATTTGAGGTTGCGGGCCGTCTGCATGTGGAAGTGTGGAGAGGTACTGAAAACTCTGAGGACAGCGGCGCCGGACCCCCCGAACCGACAGCAGAGCAGCAGGAGCGCAAACTGGACTGTGTGGTGAGAGGATGGCAGATTTAAGGCTCTTAGTTTTTCTGATTTGTTCTTTTTTTCACTAAAGTTTATTCCTGATCTCCCGCAGGTGAAGATCCTCCAGGCCACCGGTCTTCCTCGCCACCTCTCTAACTTCGTCTTCTGCCAGTATCACTTCTGGGGCCTGGAGGAGCCGGTCTTCACCGCTCCGGAGGTGGCGTCGTCCAGCACGCCGTCTGCCTCCAGAGACCCTCAGTGCACTGTGGTCTTCGACAGCACCAAGGTGGTGGGAAAAAAGTCCAGAAAGTAGAGAAATGAGTGAGAAACCTGGAGCTAAAACGGTCCTTTGTTCTGCGTTCAGGAGTTATCGGTTCCAGCGACAGAAGATCTGCTGGAGTTCCTGGCTGACGGCGCCGTGGCGATTGAAGTTTACGGACACAAACAGGCCAACCATCGCAGGAACCTGGCGCTGTGGGACCTGGGAGTGATTCAGGCTAAGACCAGATCCCTCAGAGAGAGGTCCAGACCGCCTCCGCTGGTGCGCTAACCCTGAGCCCTGCTGGGATGATGAACGGTCCGGTTCTCTCCTGCAGGTGGAGCGAGGTGACCCGGCGCCTGGAGCTGTGGGTGCAGCTGGTGGAGCTGAACGAGGCGGGAGACTTCGCTGGCGTGGAGGTTCTTCCTGCCAAAGACGTCCGCACTGGCGGCGTCTTCCAGCTCAAACAGGTGACGGTGACCGGGCCGCTTTGAGGGGGAGAGAAGTAGAAGTTGTTCTCATGGCTGTGTGAATAAACCTTACAGGGTCAGTCTCATCGGATCCGGGTGGAGGTGAGGCCGGTACCAGACTCCGGAACAATGCCGCTCATCGCTGCCTCCATCCTATCTGTGTCGGTTGGGGACGTAAAGGTTCGCCAGATGTCCGTCTCCAAAAACAATCGGGTGAGTCCCTTCTAGTTCCTAGCATTCATATTTCCACTCCACTGATTTCTAACCTTCTACTGAACTGTCATTAAGGATGAAGGGGAAGACATGGACAGCTACCAGGTCAGTGTTCATTTCAGTACAAAACTAAAACAGAGGAAATGGCTTCCTTCCTGCTGATGTGCGTCCTGCTCTGCAGGAGGCGGACCTGGAGAGGATGAGGGAACAGTGGCTGAACGCGCTCACCGAGAGGCAGGAGTACCTGGACCAGCAGCTGCAGAAGATCGTCTCCAAGCCGGGTAAAAACAGACATCTCTGATACGCGATGCACAATTCAAACTGTTCCTTTAAACCAGGGGTGGGCAGTTCCAGTCCCGCTATAAACTAAACTCTAGACCGGAGGTTTTCAACAGGAGGTACTGCATTGGGGTCACGAAAGTTTTGGTTGATTAGACTTTTTTTTATATTCCCCCCTGCAATTTTTTCCACTAATTGAAATGTCTTTAAATCCATATTAACATGAATTCAACACACTGTAGTAAACGGATAAATGGAGGCAGAAGATGTCTTTCAGTCATCAATGCACACATTCAGCGACACACAGGGGCTCTTTCAAGCTGGGCACCGTTTCATTCACAACACCTGTCCCATCAACCAGGAATCAGAATCAGAAATACTTTAATAATCCCAGGGAGAAATTACTTTGGTTACATAACTCCATCTTTAATAGAGTGACTATAGGACCAGTTTGATATAACACAATTTCATATAATATATATATTTCACAGGTCCCCGCCCCTGCTCTAAACTATGACGTGTCGAGTCGTTCTTTTAGATCAATACTAGTTATATTGAGCTGGTTTTAGAATTGAGGACCAGTTGTTTCCATTATAAATGTAAGTCAAGCGATGTCCATATTCTGCTCATTTGGAAATGCATATTTTTTTTAAGTGCGGTTTTTCAATTTAATAAGAAATATGATTAAAAATGCACATAAATTTGTTTCTTCAGGTGATAACTCATGTATTTATTTTTCAATTTGCAGTGTTTATATTTTGCCCATTAATTTTCTTGTAATTTGATAATGGAAACGCAGCTATTGCTGTTTTCAGAATGTGTTTCTGATTAGTGTGGATAAAACGTTTAAATGTCTGTACTAGGGATCAACCATTACTGCTTTTTCAGGCTGATTATTTTTACATCAGTCTAACCGTCCAATCACCAATATATGCGGCTAATTTCTTTGTTTGGACACATTTTTGGAGCTGATTTTTTTTTTTTTTTTTTTTTTTTTTTTTTCCCTTGATTTCATGATTAAAAACTACCTAAACATCATAAATGTCAAATTAATGTCATGAAAAACAAACCTTTGATCGCTGATGAAAGAAAACATGAACACGTGTTCTAGAGATATGGCAGCTGAATGTATGAATCGATGCAAACATAAACATCTCTCTGCATGTAATCAGTTAAAACTTTTATGGAAACTATCAGTAGCAAGATTTAAATAGTTTTTACATTTTCATAGATTTTTATTTTTATTTACTTGACTTAAAATTCTGTTAATTTCTAATTTTGTTTTAGAATTCATTAGTTTAGGTTTTTATTTTGTGAAAATATTAAATTTTTTTGTTTTGGTTCTAGTTTTAGCCTTTTATGTAATATGACTTAAATACAGGAAGCATGACTAAAAGAAGAAATAGAATCTCTAAGGACAGACAGACAGACCCCTGCTGCAACACTAATGACCTGACTGCTGTACTGCCCTCTGCTGGCGTAATGGGGTACATACTAGAAAACTGGTATTAAAGCATTATGATAAAAACAGAAACTAATCCCATTCTCTTTACAAATGTAGCTTTAAATTTCTAAATTTGTCACTGTTTCTGTTATTTTTGTGCAAGGTCTAGTTTTTAAATGTTTAATTCTAGGTTTCATTATTTTCTTTAGTTAATGGTAATTGTGCTTTTTAACCCCATACTCCCCAGTCTCCATTTAAACCAGTGGATTTATTCTGTGTTTTATTGTTTATTAAACATAATGCCTAACCCTTCCTGCGCTGGAAGATCCCGTCTGCTCCTCCATGCAGAGTCTGAACCAGTTTCTCGGCTCAGTTTTTTGTTCAACATTTCGTCCATCTGTCCTCATCTGCAGACAAGACGGAGGACGATGTAGAGAGGGAGTCCCAGCTGCTAGAGTGTCGCCTGACCCTGACAGAGGAGAGGAACGCGGTGCTCGTCCCGTCAGATGGAAGCGGCATCCCAGGAGCCCCGGTAGAGAGGTGGGGGTCCCACTTTGGTTACCTTAATTAGTCGTGCTGGAACAGCATATAATAAAAAAAAGAAAAAAAAAGAAAAAGGAAAATGATTCAAGTCAAAATACCTAATATCACCATCTCTAGACATATAAATATAGATGTTATAGATGAATATTGATATAAATGAGGGTTGAAATGTTATCTGTTAAATTTTTAATATTATGATATCGATGAAAGCTGCATGTTTCCTTTGCTTCCTCCATTCTGATCAAAGTTTCTCCTTTTAAATCTTTTTTAGGGGACATGTCAGTAGTAGTAGTGGGTTCATGCTGCTGTTTGTTGTCCTTGAATTTAGAGAAATTGATCCTGAAGAATCCTTTAGAGGTCCCTAAATGCGATGCTGACCAAAGCGTCTGTAAATGCTCTGCAGCGTCTCAGGTGTTTGATCTGGTTTCATTCACAGGGTTCCTGTTCCTGGAATGGAAACCCACATTCCTGTCCTGTTCCTAGATCTGAGCGGTGGGTTCGTCTCCCTTTCTTTACATCAAATAATCTAAATGAATCCATCATTTTTAGGGAAATAAATGTTTGTTTTGTTTTCCTGCCCCCAGCTGATGATTTTCAGTCCAGGCTGTCGGCCCCTCTGGCGGGGGGGCTGGACGCGGTGCTCAGTGGTGAAGATGAAGACGACTTCTTTGACCTTCAAATAGTTAAACACTTTGATCCAGAGGTGAGCGGACCCCCCTCTCCCTCTTTCTTCTGTTTAATTTCTTCTTCTGCTCCTGAATCGCCAACCTGACTGTGCTGCAGGTGAAGGCGGAGGCCTCCTGGGACTCCACCATCCACGAGTGTCCTCAGCTTAGCCGCGCGGCGTCCCCCGATCAGAGGGTCTTCCTGACCGTCCGCACCGTGGTGGGGCTGAGCCACCCGGCACACATGGAGCTGGTCCTCAGGAAGCGCATATGTGTCAACGTGACGGGGAAGCAGGTGGGTGGACGGAGGATAAGCCGACCCAGAGTCATGTTAGGGAATCCACCAGCGGAGAGATAAAGGCTGTGTATCCATGGCAGGGATTCGCTCAGAGCCTCCTGAAGAGGATGTCTCAGCGAAGCACCATCCCAGGCTGTGGAGTCACCTTTGAAATCGTCTCCAACATCCCAGGAGTAAGTAAGAAACCCGAAACTGTTTAATCTAGACTGGTAACAAGGTCCGTCTGATACCAGGAGACAGAGCTATTCCCTGACCCATTCCTTCACTTCCACTGGGATCTATGAGGACAGAGTCGATGCTAAACATCCCAAACTTCTTATTTATTCACATTTAAATAATTTTTAAGAACCTAAGTAAGAGAGAAGTGGAGGCCTAGTGGTTAGGGCATAGAGCTTGGATCATGAGGTTCAAGCTCCACTCCCACAGACTGCAACTGTGGGTCACTGAGCAAAGACACTTAACCCCACACAGCTCCCCTGGCCCCCCACGATGGCAGCCCAACGTTCCCAGAGGAGATGGGTTAAATGCACAGGTCAGTTTCTTCAATATGGGATCAATTTAAAAAAAAAGCATTTTATTCACGCAGTATCTTTCACAGCTTCACAAAGAAAGATGCTAGAATTAAAACCGAGAAACCAGGCATCTGCTGCTCGATATGTGACCAATGTTTGCATCAGTAGCAACTAAATGTTAGCGTGTTTCACCGTCTCTAAACCTAACGTTAGCAGTAAAACAGACCCTCACCATGACGCTGCCTCCACCATGCTTAGTCACTTAAAGTTCTCCATTTGCGCCTCCATATGTTGTTCACCTGTTCTCCCCGTAGCCTGGATGGAATCTCTGGTCCACCCCTGTTGCTTGGTGCTGCGTTTTAACAAACAGCCTACATAGATCTAGTTAGCAGAGCTGTTTAACTGGTTTCCTTCCTGTAGGACATCCATGGTCCAGAGGACAGGGAGATGCTGGCCAGGCTGGCTGCCAGCGCCGAGGACGAGCAGTCGGCAGACAGCGAGGCGGCCATAGAGAAGTACCTGCGCAGCGTCCTGGCTGTGGAGAACATCCTGACCCTGGATCGACTCAGACAGGTCCACAGCTCAGTTTCACATTTCTCTGTTGGTCCTTCACCTTGTTTCCATCTGCAGCCTGTCCTCCAGCTTCTCCCTCAAACCCTGAGTGATTAGTGTCTATTCGACTTCATCCTCAATCCATCCTGTGAAAGAATAACGGCCATTTGGTTTTTAATGAACCAAATCCTCTTCCTGTGTGTGAATGTGAGCAGGAGGTCACTGTGAGGGAGCAGCTGGCGGTCAGAGGGAAGCCTGCCAGACGCTGCCTGAGCTCTCCAAACGTAGACCGGGTAAGACCTCGAACTCTGCTTCAACATACACCTAAACCCAAATCACCTTAGGTACTGAACAGGAAGAACGAGGCTTTCCCTGAGTTTCCCTGAACCTTTCAGCTTTAGCAGGAGCTATAGGGCCTGATCAGATAAGGAGCAACAGATAACAGGTGTGAATGTGGTGCAGAAAGGCCCCCGTAGAGTAAGGATTTAGAGAGTCACACTGCACAAAATTGAAAACTTACAATAAGTGCATTTTTTTTCTTGATTTGAGGAGGTAAGTGAGACATATAAATAAGAAAAAAACAATTTCATTGTCTTATTTCAAGTGCATTTTATCTAATTATCTTATTTTAATAGTAAAAATGCTCATTCCATTGGCACATAATCCTTTTTACCTACTCAAATTAATGGTAAATACACTGAATTTAACACATTTTTGCTGATTTCTAGATCGTTTTTGCAGTGCAGGTTACGACTCTAGAAAGGCCGTTTTCTGAAAGCAGCATCACTCCGTCACCTTCCAAGATGCACAAAACTCTATTTTTCACATATGGAGAGTTTCAGTTTCCTTTATTTTTTGCATTTAAAGGTGTTAGTGTGTTTAGGTTTTAGGAGAACGTAAATAACAACTGCCATACAGAAAAAAACAGAAGAGGAAACTCTGCTTTTATCTTGTTGAAAGCTGCAGAAGCAGATTTCCAGCAACACACCTGATAGAAAATGTAATTATTTTATAAAATAAGTTTATGGAATAACAGATTTTACCCGTCAGGAACACAGAGATGTTTCCACTCTGTGGAAGGAGAGAACCTTCATAAAAATCAGTGCTGCATTTTTTTTACATTAGTTATTTCTGATGATGTTAAGTTTCTAGGATTTATCTTCTCTGTCTATCCTCTCTCTGTCCTGTTCGCCATTGGACCTCTATGTCGTCTCCGCACCACTTCTGACTTTTAACTGTGTTCACTAAATCAATCTCCTTCAGGGTGGTAGGTGATCACATTTGCATTTCGTCCTCCCCGCGTTTTGCCCGTTCTGTTGATCAGCTGAACATTTACATTTCACAGCTGGTTATTAGATCAGCTTTTCTCTGATTCTCTGGTGTTTTTTTAGCCTGGGTGCCATTCTGAACTTAGTCCCGCCCACAACGTTTGAGGTCGGGAAGTTCGGTCTGGCATTGCTCAATAGTAGCGCGAGTATGCTCGCACAATATCTGGCGGGCCAATCAAATTGTCAGGGCGGGCTTTATACGATGATGGACAGATGATCAACAATAACGTAGTCAACCATGTGACCAAAGCGCACTTGGGTGACAACAACAATGGCTGCCGCCGGAGAGTTGAGGTGTGTAGATTCTGCTATTAGGTCTTTTCTAGAAGATATCAACAGCTAATTAATTTTAAAAGAGGAACAGAGAAACGCGATCAAGGCTCATCTTCTTATTCTAGGCGTGCAACTGCACGCTTTGATTTTTGTTGACAACAACTATGCCTCGCTTAAGATACGTCACGCACTCCGTTGCTCTTATTGGTTGTAGGTCTATCCAATTGAGTGCAGAGGCATTTTTTTTCCTGGTTCGTTCGAAACACGCCCCATAATCACAGCTCTATGGAGCAGTATCAGACTCATATTCTGACTAGAATTGAGTCGGACTACGTCAGGCTAGTGTTATTATACCCAGATGCCTTTTAGCAGATCAGCCTGTTAGAGACCGTTTTCACCACACATCTGATGTTAGCTCTGGTTCTCTTCAGCTTTCACCAGAACTCCTGTCTGACTCTAGAAGTTTGGCTCACCAGAATTAGGCTGAATCGGACTGTGGGCTTTTAAACTTGGTGCTGCTCTGTTGTTTCTCACTCTATCTGGGCTCACTAACTCCTAACCATGCTTCCATCTAACTGTTTAACCAGCTGTCAGCCAGCAGTCTGGACCTCTACTGCTCCTCCAATCAGAGGCTCGGTTACTTCAAGGTGAGAACCTCCGTGCTGCTACCGCTGTCATTTCTATGAACTTTAAGATCTCTTCACTGACCTACAAATCTGACAAAACACAAATTATTAAGATCTAATTTATTTTTATTTTTTTCCAGCTTGGTAATGAAATTATGAATTATTTAGTTGCAAACACTCAACATGTTTTAATATTGTTTATCTTCTCAGTTTATATAAGAAGCTAAACATATTAGTATGTTTTGTTTTATTAAAAACGTTTTATCCTAAAGTAATCAAACCCAACAAGGAGAAAAACTTAGTAGAAACCGTCTTTACTCGTCTCTCTGGTCCTGAATGGTTACAGTAGGGCCGACCTTTGAGCTGCCATGCTGGTTCAAACAGAAAAAGGTTCAAATTTTATTCTTATGGTTAAAAATGGTAAAAACCTTAAAAAACAAGATGACTCAGATCTCCTCCAAGCAGCAGATTCTGACCCATATTGTGACTTAAGCCTGTAGCTAAATGATCTGGATCATTCATTACAAAATTTGAACGAATTAATCTGGTAAAAATTCAATTAAAATTTATAAATAAGGTATAGTGTGTGTGTGCAGCCTCTGGTGTCTGTTCTGCTCTCACCTTCATTCATTCATTTTTCTTTGATTGAGGCTCATGCGAGGCATGGCTTATCTTTATTTTTTTTTTATATATACTTCTGGACTTCTTTAAATCTGAAGCTGAGGCTGTCAATAATCACTGCTGCCTCCCTCTGGTTTAAGGGGGAACTGCTTGTTCCACCAAATATCTCTTTGAGGCGCACATCTGGTAAAAATAAATAAATCATTAAAATCTTTTCAGAGCGTTTCATGGAATCCTGCTGAAAACATGACCTTGGTGGAGTAATAACACTTCATCGGTAGGAAGCTCTCCATTCAGAATCAGGTTGTCTGATGCTTCACTCAAACAAGCTTTTTTAAGTTTCCCTGAGCTTTTTCATTATCATTAAGTAGGTAGAATGAACTATTAATCATTTGTAGACCATCGCTGAGGTTCTGCTCCCACTCCTGCTGACAGCTTTTCTCCTCTAGGCGTAGAGGCTTTAAATCAGCCGTTCAAAAACCTGTAAAAAAGACGATCACATTTCTAATGAAATACAAGTCATGCATACACACACACACACACATATCTATATATAAATAAATAATCCCTGTGATTCTGGCTCTCTTCTACGGTTACCATTATCAGTTCACCTCCTTCCCTCTGTCTGCAATCACACGTCATCAGAAGCTCACTTTATATTCCCTTCAGCTCTGAAACAGAAAGATGCATCCAGACAGCATGATGCTTCCACCGCTGTGCTTCAGTGGGTTAGGTTTACACAGGGGCGGTTCTAGACGGTGGCCAACGGGGGCCCCTGTTATGGCCCCTGTACTGAAGACGTAATACTCAAAGAAATTCTGATGATCTGTGCTTGAACAGACATGGTTACTAATAACTCCTTTGGATCTATTTCATTTTTTTTTTACTTTACAAATTCTGTTTTACTAATTACTAAAAAAAATAAGGTGATAGCTTCAGTGGTATTAAGATAGGATACCAATTTTCATCTGCTAAATAAACAAAAAAAAACTTTTTACAGCTGAATTTCAGTTTTTTCCAGAGTTCTAATTCAGATTTTATAGAAGATGGTTATTTTAACTTAAATTTAGCCAAAAATACTTAAAATTCCTAAATTCTGAATGCATATTAACCTAATAAGACATAGAATTTTAATTTTACCTAATTGAATAGAAATTTTACATCATGCAGATCTCTTAATATATTTGAATCCTTTGCCCTGTTTTTTATTTCATGCTTTTCTGTTCCCCCATGAAAACACGCTGCCCCCTCCTGGCCCCCCTGGTACATTTGGTCCAGAATCGCCATATTTGAACATATCCTGGTCCCCTCCATACCAGACTTGCTGTGCTTTATGTTCTGATATCAGAGAGGCTGAGTAGTAATCTACACCTTAGATTTAATTTCATGTATTTTATCATTATTTTAGGACCTAGATAATTGAGTTTGTGACATCATGAGTCTGTGCTGGACTGTCAGCGGCTACAGAAGCTGAAACCTCCTCTTCCTGATCTCCTCCAGGGCTGGGAGAGCCATCAGGACCTGTCGGCGGCGCCTCCTCCATCCAGACGCACGCTGGCCAGCAGCGTGTCCCAGAACCTGAACGCAGAGACGGGTACGCCTGATAAAAGCACTCACCCCCCCCGCCCCACTCCACTTCACTTTCCCCTCAGAGCTTTCCTCTCGTCTCCCCCCAGTGAGGGCCGTTCCCAAGCTGCTGAAGTCTCTGCTTCCTGGAGGGAAGGAGGACCATGAGCAGACCGCCGTCCCTCAGCAGGTAAACCCCCCCCCCCCCCCCCCCCCGATGAAACCCAAGGTTTCAAACCACAGCCCAGATCTAAAACATCTCCTCATCTGATCAGCAGCTGGTGTCATTGTTCAGTTGCCATGGAAACGAGGCTTATGTAGATGAGGATCTGATTAAACCTCAGAAATTGTATCAAAGCGTTAAAGCCTGTGAAGCCTTTCCTGATTTAAAGGTGGATCTCTGACTCCAAGACAAACAGGAGACCTTAGAGGTTTACAATAAAGGGCGTTTAAAGCTTCCAAAAGTATTCACACCCACATCATTGGATGGTAATCCTCCTATTCTGACGGCCCTAAATAAAATCCACTGCAACCAGTCGTCTCTTAATGTCCACTCATTAATACTCAGCTATTCTCTGAAGGCCTCAGACCTATTCTGTGACGGTATGGTGATAATGGTGAACGTGAGGATTAAAAGCCTCTTTTTTACTTCTTTAGCCTTTCTTGGGTAGCTGTGTCTGCATGTCACAGTAATCAAATATTTTCACATTTAAAAAGGCTTCAGGACATCAGTTACATAAAGAAGTGTGATTTCTAACACTAGGCATCCCACAGTAACCACAGTTAATCATATTCTTTTAATTTCTGAATCTTGTAATGGAAAAAAAAAGAAAATCACCATTTTGACTATTGTAGAGTGTTTAACATTATTTCTAATATAGACCTTAATTAGAAAAGTATAACTGTTTAAAAAAAAAAAACAACCTCAACCAAAACCATCAACCTGCACCCACCATTACAGCATGCATGGCAGTGGCAGCGTCATGCTATGGGGAAGCTAATGTTTGCTGTAATAAATCCACGTTAAAAATGTTAGAGGCCTAAAAAAAGGCTTCCAGACTGGGAGGGACGTCACTCTTCGGCCTCTAGGGTGTGAATACTTTAGCAACACTCTGTAGATCTAAGACTAAACCTCAGAGTCCCATTTATCTGGATCCAGTTCTCTTTCCTCTAGTTCTACAGCGGAGGACGGTGGGAGCAGAGCAAGGGATGTAATCAGCTCACAGGTTGGAGGTGTTTGTGCTCCCAGCTGAGCTTCAGCGGCTCATCAGGAGCTCGCCGTCTTAGAATCACGTCTCGTTGCAACATGGTGGTCTGCAGCGTTTCTCACTGCAGCTGGTTTGACTGATTAGCACCTTCAGCCATGGTGGGAGCCTATTGATAGAAACGCCAGGCGGAGGCGTCGGGTTGGAGTGAAAACCCGCCAGACGGCGGCGGTACAGCGTCTGAGGTCCACGCACGGACTGGGTTATCATTTTGATTCACTTTGAAGCTTTGATTACAGCTAATTGATCAGTTTTACAGCTGATAGGAGGATTTATAAACATAGAATGGCAGAAAAATGTCCACATATAGAGGATCTAGTCAGCAGTCAGGTTTGGCAGCTCAGAGCATGACTAATCCTTTATGCTTTCATTAGATGAGAATAAAGAAGCTTTCAAAAGTATTCACACCCCTTTAAACTTTTTCACTTTCACAACCGCAAATATAGATCTATTTGATTAGAATCTAATCTGAAAGACCAACATAGTGGTGTACGGTGAAGTAGGAAAACAATACATTTAAAATGTCATATAGAGATGTGTGCTAAAGTATTCAGACCCTTTTCTCTGACGGAAACTTATTGCCTTTAGAGGATATCGGGGTCCGCATTAATTACTAGGATTGAGCTGGAATGTGAAACCTGACTTTAGAAGTAAAACGTATAGAGCAGCAAATGATTCCAGAAGTGCTGAAGGGCAGGAAGAGTCCTTCCGTCATCATCATGCTAAAGGATGAATATACAACAATAGAACTGATGACAATTATTTGATTTATTCTGCAGCTGTGTTCTTCTGAATTTTATTTGTCGGTTTCATGTTTAAGGAATCCAGAGGACAAACAGCTGCTGTGATCCTCACCTGTTGTTACTTTGCAGGTTTCTGGTCCAGAGCCATTGGCGGGTAGGATAGTTTATGACCTGCTCTCTGATGTCCCATTCGTAGGTCCATGTTCTCCTCAAGATGAAAACTTTGCTCTAAATCAAACTGCAGATGAGTGGAGTGCAGCGTGTGGGCAGACCAATCAGCCTCTCCTCTACGCTTTGATTTTTATTAGCTTCAAACGACGGCGAGACAGAAAATGATTGCTTCATTCTCTGGGGAAACGGTTGGGGAGCAAATCAGGGAAGTTGCATGAAACATGAATTCTATAATGAGATAAATGAATACAAACAATTATCATTAGGATGCAATTATCTCGACTGATTCGCCAGTTAATTCTGATTATCCGTGATTTAAGCAGCAAATATCCTAATTGCACTTCGAATGTCTAATATCAGCGTCCCTCCTGCTGATGGTTGGAACGAGGGAAATAATGGATTCCTTAGTACACGCCTCAGGCACGGCCGGATCGGAGCTCAATATAGAACGGCAGCTTAGGAGTTTCATATGGATGGTTGAACGCTGTAGGTTCAAGGCCCTGCCATGTTCTTATCTGAACAGATGTTAACATCTGCTACTTTGTTTCAGTCCCAGAGTCTTCCCCGCATCGTGGTGCAGTCGGCCAGTGTGGAAGAGGACATGTCTAAGCACCAGCAGCTGGTGAGTTCCTCATGTTAACCCAGACAGCGCTTCAGGTCTGATGAACATCAAAAAAATTGGAACCGATTATTTGGAATAAAAACAAAATACTTTGAATCACAGCAGGAACATATCTATTGTTTGGGAGACGCAGAGATTAATGATAGGAAAGGATGATGATGATAGGAAGAAGGATCTGTGATGATGCTTCATTGTGCACCTAAAGTACAGCAGCTTGTCTGTTCTGCCTTTTGTAAATTACATTGGATTTAGTTTCTATACTGCTTTAAAACTCCATCTAGAGTTTTTTAACATCGCTGTGGTTTCCCAAAAATGGAAAGAAAGAAAAAACAAAATGGCAGAATGTGATGTTTTGTTTTTGTTAAAGGGCATTCTTTAAGAGGTCAACAAAAGGAAGAACTCTGTTAATTGGAGTGTCATTGTCCTGCGTCTAGCTGATAAAAAATTGGGTAACCTCTGGGTTAGAGCTTCATGGCGTCCATGAAGGAGCTCTCCAGTTCTGAAATGGCTTCATCCATGGGGCAGGAGTCCAGTAGTTTTACTTCCAGGGAAAGGATTGTTTTTTTTTTTATGAATTTGTTTATAGAGTAAAAGCAGAGATCTAAACCAGCCTGAATAGATGTGATGCAGGAATTCACCCCTCAAGCTAATTAGCGCCTTATTCCACAAGCTGCCATCAATCATTGGTGATAACTGGTAATGAGTCTTTTCTATTTGGTCTGCTCTTTACAGGATAATTCTAATAATCTACACACATCGGAGGGGTTTTGAGCATAAGTGGTCCGTTCATAGCGACTGGTCGGCCTCACAATTAAATTTAAGCCCAGGCTTGGAATGGACCATTTAAAAAAGTGAACTGGTTCCAGTGTTTGTTTGTTTTGTTTTTTTAGGTCAAAGGTCATCATTTTGGGGTTCTCTTGCTGGTTTGATTAGATCATAAACATTGTACAGTATGTTTGGGCTGAAGACCACAAACTGATGGTGGATTTTGACACATTTTCCAGGTTGTGTGGCAGCAGCACAGGCCCAGATCAACACACCGCCTCCACCTTGTCTGACTACTAATATTAGGGGCTTTTAGTCTTCTCAGTCTTTGGGATTATCTATGACATCGTCCATGGATCCCAGTTAGTTTTGTTTAACCATAAACTCTGACCTGAATGGAGAAAAATTAGGCTTGGAGAGCTTTAGATTTTGTTCTTTTGTGTTTGATTGGGTCTTTGAATAGTTTTGGTTGGCGGACCATCCCTGAAATGATTCACAAATTAATTGTTTAAAAATGTTTTATTAATGTCTGTCCAAAACATAAATAAGAGAAATACAACAGGATTATTTATCACACAGTTCTACATAGCTTCTAGCCAAGCAAGCCCAAACCATAACACTACATACTTCTGTGTAGAACTGCAAACAATAAATCAACTTCTGTTAATGTCTTAATTGACATAAAAATATTCAATCTAATTAAAGTGGAAGTATTAAAGTTACTGTTTTTAATCATATTTTTTTTTTATAACTTAGGACCTTAGGATAAAAAGTGTGAATAAGACCCAAAGATACCTCCAAATATCACTGTCAGGCTAACTGTTCTGATGGGTTTTACAGATTCCCAGTGAGGAAGCCGGTCCAGCAGATGCTGAAATGGAGATCCACAGATCCGTCCCGCTCCCACCTCCTATCATCCCAAACGTGGAGGACCCCAGCTCGGTTAGCGAAGCATCTAGGTTGTCCAACATGTCGGCAGCGAGGCATTCGGATGTCTACACACTAAGCTGGGACCTGGAGCTGGAGGAAGACGATAAAGAGGCGGAGGAGATCTCAGCTGAGAGTCTAGGTTTAACTAAAGAGCCAGACCAGGATCCATTCAGTCAGGAGACGACTCTGATAGAGTCAGATCTGAGGGAGCAGGAGCCAAACTCATCTCTGTCAGTGGAAGTAAAGGGTGAGGAGGAAGCTGCTCCAGATACAGAAAACCAGCTCACACTAAACCCAAACACGAGTGATGGATCCGGACTTAAACAGTCTGAAGGTTTAGAGAACCACACCGAGGGAGTGGCCGAACAAAACCATGGAAACAAACAAGAAGGAATCCAGAAGACGGGTCCTTCTGGTTCTCCAACAACACATCTTGATATGTCCGATATAAATGAGGACACCTGTGAGCGGTCCCTCACTACTAAAACACCTGACCCACAGGATGAAGTCCTGCTGGAATCTGTCCCTTCACAACACCTGGAACAAGACCGTGCATCCTCTGAGGGTACTGAAGAACTGGCTCCAAACGCCAACCCAGCTACGACAGCGCCACCAAATCAAGAGTCTGGCCCTAATTCACCCAGAGGAGAATCATCGTCTGATCCCTCCGATACAAACGGTGTCCTTGTCCAACCCAAACCGCCTTCTGATTCTTCCACTAACTCTGCCACCGGTTCCGCTCGGCCCTCCAAGTCCAGTTCAACAGCAGTCAACCCCTTCAAGATCCAGAAAGTAAAGTCCTCAGACCTCAAGTCTTTCCAGCAGATTGTGAAAGAAGAAGGTGGTAAACCAGCACAGATGGGGCGGGTTGGAAGCCTCGGCACAGGACTGGACCTCTCTGTGCCGGCAGAGAGCCTGGAAAGCATCTCAGATTTGGAGGAGGGAGACGAAGCTGCTTCCAGTGTTCTTCCTGACTGGTTGAAAGAAGGGGCGTTTGTGACCGTTGGGACCAATAAGAGCGGCACGGTGCGCTACGTGGGGCCCACAGATTTTGCAGATGGTACCTGGGTTGGAGTTGAACTGGAGGTACCAGCAGGTGAGAAACGCTTAGATCTACTTTATTACCTACTTACCTGCTTTATTCTTGTCAGAAAAATCTCTAAAGGATCTCTGTTGGTTCTTTTTCAGGGAAGAATGATGGTTCGGTGGGCGGGAAGCACTATTTCCATTGTAACCCTGGTTACGGAGTCCTCGTCCGACCTGACAGAATTACCCGCAGCGGAACCAAACGACAACGCCAGAAGCAGAAGCGGCGTAGTGCCAACCTGTCCGGATCCAGTCCAAACCTGGCAGCCCTTACCGCTCTGGCCAAAGGTGAGACCGGTCCATCCGGCCGGGGCAGAGGAGAGAACCGCAAATCATGGAACTCTTGAAAGATCTGCTGTAAAGGAGGGAGGGGGGCAGGATAAGATTCAGGATCTTGCCCTTCGCTTTGAGAGCTGCTATCACTAACTGACATTTGCAGACAAGTATTCTGGAGATGATGAAAGCCTCACCAAAACCAAAAGCGCGTTCTTCTAACTACGGCTAACCTTAAGAAAATGCCAGTTGCAAGAACTGAGGGTGATGAGAATGTTGAGGAACCTTCAGAACTCAACTTGGCACAAGGCTGAAGGTTTCATACTGTGGAATGAGCACATTGAAAGACACCAACTCAAACTCTAAAGCAATGTTTTTATAAGGTGCGTTTGTCTTTTTACATTGCTCTGTTTGCTGATGACGTTTGTGTATTTGCTGCATGCGAGTCGATGCTGCAGCCTTATTCTTGTGCCTTGACTACTGCTCAAATGTGTGCCTTGATCATATGCAACCCTGGAGGCGTTTCCCCATGAGATCTTCCTGGTTTTTCAAAGACTGTTCTTAAATATAGATAAATTTGCACACCAATTATACAAATATTAATGCATCAGCTTTAAATGTCTTCGTCTTCCTGCCAAGAATGTGTTGATTCTTTTAGGTTTTTTTTGTGTATGAACATGTCTGGAATGGGGAAATTTAAGAAATATTGTCTGGTCTATTTAGTTTTGTTTTTTATTAAGCATTTAAGATCAAGCTGACTGCTTAGAATGTTTATTTATTTGAAAATAAAGATGTTCAATTTTCTCTTAAGTAACCAGTCGAATGGATATCATGATATAGCTTTATTCTCTTGTACATTTTATATATATATATATATATCTCATACTAAAATAAACGCAAGATAAAAAAAATTGACAAAGAAACTGTACAAAAAATGTTTATATACTACATCTTAATTACAGAACAGTCTACTGTCCAAAAAAGGCACTAAATTCTGAAATGGGCAATACAGTAATTCTGAACCTAAACTGTTTGAGATCGATACAGCATTCAGTCTTCTTAGCTATGATGGGATGAACTGGGTGGGGCCATCGTTCTGGTCAAGATCGGAAACAAACTGGTTGAAACCAGTTCATACCCGTTAATCAAAGCGAGGCCATCTGAACGGGAGAAAATATGTCTAAATGCACTCTGCAGTGCTCCTCACATTAAGCTCAACCATTCAACTTAATGGAAAATCATTTAATGAGAAGTAGCGGCACCAGAGTGATCATACATCCGCCCCGTTCTTTACACCTTTATACATTAACTCCAGGTGGAGGTTACATTTCAAACTATCAATACTTTTTTTTTTAAGGTGCATCATTGTTGGCCTTTTCATGAAGCTGTTGCTAAGAGGATGGAGACGCCTAAACGCTAAAATAATAAAATAAGTCTGGTCAAATGAGAAAGCATTAATTTAACTATAAAGCATGTTTCATTTCAAAGCATTTCATTCATCTGTACATCATAAAAATGAGCATAAATACATTTATAATTTTACTTTTGTTACCCTTTCCTTTTAAACAGTTTCAGAGTGAAGGTTTTGTAGCTTCTAACAGACAGAAGCTTTAATTAGCCTTTAGACAGGAAGCCAGGATGGGGAGTTATGAGTACAGGATGTATAAAAAAAAAAAAAAAAAAGTTGGAACACTTTCAGTGTTGTAACATGTAACCTGGTTCATCAAAAGTCCTTTTAGACACGAGGAATCACAGATATGTTTTGTTCTGTCCTGCTTGACGAACGACAGTTCTCCAAAACCATTAGTTCATGAACTTGGTGCTCCACCTTTATTCATGGTGGGAGAAGCTACAATATTAACATAAAGGTGCAGCACACAGCTAGCCCGTCTTTGTCCAAAAGTGTCAGAGAAACCAGGTGCACTAGCCCTCCCAAACCTACAGGGGGCCCCAAAGAGCAGCAGTATTTTCACAGGTCAGGTTTAAATCCGTTATCCATGCAACGTATTAGTTGTAACTATACAAAAATACCTACAGCAGTGTAGGTAAACTAAACAATGTTTTTCTACTTTAAATATTTGGTTGAATAGGGTTAAAATTTTTACCGTAGCCTAGCTTCACCTTCCTGGATCCCCCCCGATGTTGCTGCGTACTAGAAGTCAGCTGACTGTGAGAGCCCACCTGCAGCTTCTATAATTGCACATTCAACACTAGAAAATATTTATATATAATTTAAATTGACTATGTCAACCAGTCCTTCTACCACAGCAGAAAACCCATTTAATTACCCAGCCGATATCAGCTTGACAGATGGGTTTGAAAGTGCAACGTTTAGAATAATGAGCTCAAGCTGTTAAAAACAGCTGAATTTAGCTGGAGTTGGTATAGATTTACTAGCCTTTGGGTATCCTATCTGCATCAAATGAAATAAATCCCCACAGCTTGACATTTGAGGGACCAAATAGAGCAGGTGCTGATAGAGAGGACCCAGCTTCCTTCAGACGTGACGGAGGACCCCCCCGATGCACAAGCCCGCTCCGTTCTGGAGATATTCAACCGCAAAGATGAATGGTTGAGGGAACGCTTCTGCCCGTACACCTGGTGCTGTCGGTTGTACCTCTCCTTTCACCATCTGTACACACCATTTACCCTTGTCAGCACAGCTCCACTCTGTGGACAAAGGAAATGGCCACTTCGAAACAATTTATGTCTGTGCACTGACAGTGCGACGGACAAGCAGCAAATACCAGTGACCAGTTGGGTCAAGACGGCAGACAGCAAGCAACAAAAGTGAAGGTGGGGTAGAGTTGTATCAGAAGTATAGCTGTCCATTCTATGGCCTAAGTACACTTGCCCATCATGTGTGCCCGACGTCTTTCAAAGCATCAGTAAAACAGGCATGGGCTGACTACCTAGAATAATAGTGCGATAAGGTGATATGTCAATATTTACCATCTGATCTGTAAAATGGCTCCATAATAGGACTGTGTTTTGGGTATTTTTCCCATCTGTTAACTAACTGCTCTACCTAAAGCATGCTCGATTTCACGAGCATCATTTCCAGCATCTATAAACCAAGAATCAGCTTAAAGGATTCATTAGCGTGTTGCTCAGGGAAAGGTCTAGAATGGGAGTTTTATTTGAGCAGAGTCAGATGATTAGAAATAGAGGGGAAACCCTGCCGTTTTTCATTTCTACCCAAAATATAATAGCAGGAAACACAGTTAGCATTGTTGCTTGCTAGATGGGCCAGGGTTTATAAATAGAAACTATAAACAGTGTGTATGTTCTCCCTGCACATGAGTGAGTTCTGCCCAGGTACTACTACCTTCTACGGTCCAAAAACATGACAGTCAAGTTAAATACCAACTCCCCCCCCCCCCCCGGTCCAGGGAGTACGATGCTTCTCACCCAGTCAGAGCTGGAATTAGCCCCACATGCTCTGGTTTAGCAATGGAAGATGGTCCATTAGACCAGAGCTTTGTACTTCCGCTCAAGCAGCACTTTTGGACAATGCTAGGCTAGCTGTTTCCTTTTAGAAGAGCAGGAATGAATCCCAGCTTATGCATCTAAAAGCACAAAGTGGGCTCATCTTTGTTTTTTTTAAATGGAGGCTGATGGATTTGGAGAACTCTCATCCAACACAAAAAGAAACCAAATCAGATTCCCTTCAATGCTTCCTTTTGAGGTTATTTGTAGGTGAAACAGGAAAATAAATGTATAGTTTTTTGATATTCATCTCCAGTGTGGATTCAGTCTAATTTGATACCTGTTGTATAAAAACAAAGCACACAGCTTACAGTATTATCATTCTTATTATAAAGAGGCAGCGTCACAGAAGTAGTAAATAGCTTAGGGGTAGCTATATTAGCCTGCAGATACCTACCGTTACTGATACAGGCCCGCTGTAGTGTCAAACCTAGCATGGGTGTGAGAGGCGTCGCTGATAACTAGAGCAAAGGAGAAAGAGATCATTTTGGGTTCACCGGCGGATCCGGTAGGCGCTTCCTTTGATATGGATGATCTGGAAGGTAGAGCCCCGCGTCCTTATTGGACGGCTCGGGGGGTTACAGGTTAGATCAACTTAAAGGCAGGAGAAAAAAAAGCCAAACTGCTGTTTTAATCTCGGCTAAAAGGAATGACAGGAAAACAAACTGCTATAGCTGGACTGAAATGTTTACTTTAAGGACTGAATCGTCCCTCCTAATCTGTGCAGACGGTTTGCATGTGTGCGGTTGGAAAATAAAAAGCAGCCGTCTACGGGAAGTTAAGGCTACTTCTCAGACATGAAGCAAGGAAAAGAGAAGCTGCTGCTGAGGGATGACCACTACAGAGGAAGAGGAGGAAGCCCTCTTCACCGGCGTTCCCAGAGCGGCTGGCTGCAGGCTCCTCGTGTCACGCAGGTGAGGGGCGTCGGTATCTAGGTAGGTAGCGTTCATGAGGTGACTGAGAACCTTGTAGGTATATTCCTTATATATACAGAGCGTCATTTTCTGAGGTTTGAGGTGAGAGGCTGAGGAGCGGCTCAGACGACCAGGCTGCTGAGGGAAGGAAGAGGAGAAAACTGAAGAGGTATCCTGTGCTGGAAAGGGAGAGGAGTTCCTGGGAGACCCGGTCCCAGAGAGGAGCCACCATCAGCTGCTTGGCTCCTCCTCCTTTTTCCACCAGCTGTGTCCATACATGGAGTAGAACAGGGAGAGGGTTTAGGGGTGGTTACTGTTTATACGGAGGCTCTGGGAGGAGGGGGAGCAGATTCTGAAGGTTTTTTGTTCGTTTGTTACTAAGAAGGATCATTTTGATCTTTATCAAACCCACCATCCCATTCCTCTGCCTTGCTTTGTTCCCTCGCTCCGTCCCAGTTCCTGAGCAGTTCATTCGTCCTCCAGTGACTCCGTCTTGATGTCGTTGGGAACGCCTCCGGTTCTGGACAGCGCCAGGATGGTGTGGTTGACGGCGGCCATCTCCACAGCCAGGGAGATGGGGTCCTGGTGCTCGCTGTGAGCTGCGCTGTCGTCCTGCAGGAAGGAAAGGAAACAAGGATTCCTCTTTAGGTGAACCTTAAATCAGGCATACACGGCACGATATTTTCAATCGTTGCACGCAGCTACTAGCCTCGTGAGACCATCCTAATCTCGCGAGCTTTCAAGGTTTCACTTGCTAATCAGTCTGGAGACTCTCTGTTAAAGAAAATTTGGAGCC